GGGCCCTGGAGTCCGGGCAGGGACCCCTCCACCCTGGGATGGGCCCCCTGCACCCAGAGCTGGGCCCCCGCATCCCGGGCTGGCCCTGGAGTGCGGCTGGTCTCCTTGTCCCGTCCAGGGCCTCTGCTCACCGCGCCTCCGCTGAACCGCCCGTCTCAGCACCAGCCCCAGGAGGGCCAGCAGCAGAAGGCCCAGGGCACTGGGAATCAGGATGTGGAACCCCAGGTCCTCCCTCCCTGCCGCGGAGCCAGAGCTGGATGCCCTGAGGAGGTAAGGAAAAGGAGAAACGGGAAAAAGGTAAGAAGGAGGACAGTTCTCCTCTCAGGCAGGTGAGCTCCAGATTTGTCCCTTTGTCAGAACTCTCCCCACGCACTCCAAGGGGATTTGTCTGTGGGGTCAGGAAACTCGGGTCTACATGAGGTTCTGCTCTTTACCGCCACAGTGATCTCTAACAAGTCTAACTTCTTTCCCCATAAGTGGGGATAGTAAATCCTATCTCAGAGCTGTTAGAAGGAGGAAATCAGTGGGTCTGAAGGACTGAATGTGTCCGGCAAATTAGCAGGTTCAGAACCCCTCCTGACAGTCCGCACCGTGGCCCACTCATGACTTTTGCAGAGAGTAAATGAGCTAGTTTCTTAGAAGGGTGGAAGTGTGGTCTATGCCCCCAAATGCATAGGAGGCCTTGCTCCATATCCTCTACATACTGGGACTTTACTTTCTGAGCGGAATAGCGCCCAAGTCCTGTTTTCTGCAATCAGGCTAAGCTAGAATCCACTTTTTTTTTAGCGCTGTGTTCCCAATGCTTGTGTTCATGTCCATTACAAGCCTCATCACGGACTTGTACTAGTAAGACCCAGATATCACATATTTCAATCATTTTAACACCTTACGGACATAGCACACTGCCTGGCACATAGTTGAGACTGAGAAAATGTTGGTTAAATTTCTTTGTCTGTGCTGGGTTGATGTGATTTACCAAACTAGAAATCAGTGTCCTGGTTCTTTCTGAACAACTTAGCTCTCATGGCCTCGGCTTCCCAATTTCCGGAACCCAAATGATGGTGGAGGTCCCTTTCCTCCTTGACCTACATTACTGTATTTGTGTTTACTTAAGCAAAAACAATTCCGATTGATAGGGGTTTTGGCATCGGCTATAATGCTGCCACCTAGTGGTCTACTGCTGGACTTCCGGGACGGCGCCCCCTCTGGCCAAGGGCGGTCAGCAGCAATACTGTCCGTCACCTGTGTAATAATTTCGACAATTTCACTCATTTAGTTCTTTTCCATCAAAACCGATTTGAATGAATCTGAGTGACAGGCTTCACTTTCACTTCTTTCTGCAAGGTTGATGTGGGAACGTAGACAGGTGGTGTGTTCTTATAGAGAGATTGATGGATTAAGTGCCTGGTGTATTTCACACCTGACTCTGGAGACAAAGCCCAGAAGGCCCCAGTAGTGGGCTCTGCCACCTCTGGATTCCAGCCTGCTCTGCTGGGCTCTCGCTGGCCAGGGGGGTGGAGGCTCTTACCTTTGCCCGTGCAGCCAGGTGTGGTGCTTGTAACTGGCCTCCTGGGGCCCGAGCACCCCCTCCTGAACCGAGGTCTTTGAGGCCTCTCTGGAGGGCAGAGGGGTTGGTGGCATGGAGGCTGCCGCCGAAGAAGCTCTGGGAGTCTGAGATCGGTGGGCTGTGGGCACAAGGGCGGTGGAGCGCAGGGCCAGAGGGGCCTCTGTCCTTTGAGCTGCAGCATCTGCAGAAGATGGCAGGAGGAAGTAGCGCCCCATAGGCAGTGTCCAGCAGGACTGGCCACCGTCTCTTTCCTCGGTGACCTCTTCTGTGTGGCCTGCGCTGCATGTTTGCAGGCCTTGTGGTCTGAAATGCCCCCACAGCCCTCCACTGGTGCCCAGGTAGTTTCATGTGCACCGGCTTCGAGGAGGGCGGCTTGCTCTGGGAAGGCACAGAGATTACTGTGGCCCGAGCAGGTGGAGAAACCTTCACAGCTCTGTCATGTGCTGCATCCGTGTGCCCACCCGCTCACCCCGTCTCACACCTGTCAGTCGCACCGTGGCTGCTCTGTACTCAGTGGCACCCAGCAGGGTCCCCTATCCTAGCAACGCTAAGTTAATGCACCTACTTCGTAAGGTCTGTGTGAGATACAAGAGAAATGCTGCCGGTCAAAATGCACGAGACTGGAAAATGATACCTGAATGTAAAATTGTTGGTGTGATAATCATTCAGCTTGTATGGTACAGTACAGTTGTTAACTGCTGGAGAAGACAGCCCTGTAGCAGGAGGCATGATGACCTGCAGCTGGGAAGCGCAGGCCCAGACTTGGTTTCAGCAGCCATTCATGCATAAAAAGAGCTCGATTTTGTGAATGGAACCTCAACTTTGTTGCCTGTGGCGCCGCCTGGTGCTGATGTGTGCAAGTTCTACAACTAGGGCTGCTGTTGGGACTGTAGGACATGGAAGGCCGACCTGAGGGAGGTCCCCTCACTATGCTGTGGAAATACACACCTGAGACGCAGTTCTGCTCTGCCAGCTACTCTGTGAGCTGGAAACACAGCCCTGCACTTCCACAATCCCACAGCGCCTCCCCCACCTCTCCTCCCCTTCTTTGGCGCACTGACCTTTGGATATGAAATTGGAAGGCCTGTCATGTGCCGCCATCTGAAGCCAACCCGGCATCTGCGGCAGAGCCTTATGAAACCAGTCCTGAGGCTCAGCCATTGGATCCTCTTCCCAGAATGGCTCATACTCTACTGGAAGCAAGAGAAGTAAACTGGACGTCACTGGGGATTTGGTGAAAATCGAAGGTGACCCCACGAGGGTGAATGGCTGTGAGGGGTGAGCAGGGGGGCAGGAGGGGCACACGGAGAGGGGCAGAACAGGAGCCGGGTGTGGGGCTTCTCCCGAAGGAAACTCCCCCAGGCCAGCCCCGCCAACACTCCCTGCCAAGGTATTAGCAGCTACAGGCGGGGGCTGTCGGCTCGGTGTAGCATGGGAGCAGGGAGTCAATGGAAAGAGGAGAGCGGCAGGGCTGAAGAGGTATGAAGGACCGGACCACACAGTGACAAATCTGGCCCACAAACGCAGCCTGATTGTTCAGGGTCTTCTGTGTATGCTCATCCCTGGGGATTCTCATGACATGATAATTGTATCATTTGCTTCCAGGTTCCCCCATCTCTGAGCCACTGCACAAGCTACTGCACCTCTCCCTTGTCCCCTGAGCTGGTACAGCGCCCATCCTATCCCTTGTTCTGCTGAGTCGGAAGTTCCATGGGCCAGGAGCTCAGCCTCACCAGTTATTACTGGATTTGCTAATACAGCCAGTGCACTGGGGTGTCCAAGGTTGGGGGGTCATCTTTCTCCTGAACGGAGACATCTTTCCAGCAGTCTGAGCAGCTGGGGGACTTACCGTTGTGGACACTCAAGGTGACCTTCAGAGTCTTGCCTTGGTCTGTGCTCCTGCCCAGTCCGCAGGCATAGACCCCACTGTCACTCTCGGTCAGGCCCATCAGCTCCACCAGGAACAGGTTCCTATCTGAACACGGCATCAGGGTGACTCGGTGCTTGTACCCCTCCTTGACGAAGTAGCTGGACACCACAGTAGTGCACGTCTTGGGGTTTGCCATCTGCCGGCACAGGTACATCCGCACTTGGGTATCTCCCTGAAGTGGGCACTCGATGACCACGGATCCGCCCAGCACTCCCTGCAGCTCCACTTCCGGAAGGATCTTCAGTGCCCTGGACACTGCAGAGAGAGGGAGCCCCGTCCTTGCCATCAAAAGAGCCTCTGTCAACCCTGAGCCTCGCCCCATGGCAACGCCTGCCCACATCCTCAGCCCCAGCCATTGCCTCGGCCAGTTCTGTGCCCACCCCAGCGCTGTGCCTCCACGCTAAGCCCTCATCGCAGCCTCAGAACCTAACCTCAACCCTCAAAGACCAGACTCCACCCCCGAGAAAACAGCACCCTTTAGAGAAGCGATGCCCTCGGTGTCCCCAAAGGACGCAGGGCCCAGCGACTTTTTGTCTTAGAGGCCCAGCAGGGCTCTGCTGCAGCACACGCGCCCCTCTGCTTTGTTTGGCTCAGAACCACCCAGCCAGCCATGCACCCCAAAAGCCCTGTGTGTTCCATCTCTCAGCAAGCATTTCCGGAGTGCTTCCTGTCCTCCTCCTGCACAGAGGGAATAGCTGAGCGACAGATACCCACAGGCAGCCAGCACGGTGCAGCGGGTAATGAGTCCCAGGACAGAGAGAGCGCGGTCCCGTGGGGAAAGCAGGCAGGGGCCCGCTGCTGTGGTGGGGACGGTGTCGCCTAGGGAGTGGCGCCCCAGCTGTGACCGGAAGGAGAGGCATGGGGCTGAGGGGATGACGCTTGTCCAGAGGGAGAGAGGTCAGGAGGCAAAGCAAGGGTGTGTGTGAGTGTGGGTGCACACGTGTGTGGGCGTGAACGCTGCACGTGCATTGGGAGCGATACCGGATGGGGGCTGCAGACCCTCGACATCCAAACGCTGAGGTCCTGGGTGAGAGAGAGAAGGCCAGTGGAGTCAGCTCAGCCAGCTGCGGGAAAGGGGAGGGACCGGGTGGCCGGGTGTCAGCGGGGTGGGTTCCCTAAGTGGCTGCCTGTGTCTAGGAAGAGAGTGCACAGGGTAGAGTGTGTGTGCGCGCGTGTGTGTTGGGTGAAGCTGGAGGGCCGGGGTGGGGCAGAAGGGCGTCTTCCAGACGGCGAGAGCTGTCCTTGCCGCGAAGGCCAGGATGCGAGAGAAGCTGCGCACGCGCGCAGGGAGGTCTACAGACGCCCGAGGGTCCATGGCCTCCAACGGGTTCAGGCCAAGTGAGAGGGACAGCATGGGGGGCCCAGGGGCTCGGTCAGACAGTCGGGGAGACGACGTGGGAATACTCATGGGGCACAGAGGAGGGCTGGGGGGGGGCAGCGCGGAGCCAGAAAGAAGCCTCCACAGGAGCAGGTGTGACCCAAAAGGGCTGCTCATGTTGAGGCGTCATCAGGCCCAGCCAGGGAGGGGAAGCGCTCTCGTGCGAAACCTAGGGCTCCCTTAAGTACCCGGAAACAGAGCCCCTCGGCCCCTCCGCACGCCAGAGGAGGCAACAGAGGGTGACCTGTCCACAAAGTCCCACCGAAGGACACGGACCCGCAGGGGCGGGGGAACCCCCTGAGCGCCAGACAGCCCGCACCTGTGTGGGCAGCCGGCTGAGGGCAAGGGAGCAGGTGTGTGGGCACTTTGAAGGACGCTAAGCCACCAGGAGGGCTGGGGGGTGAATCTGCTTCCCCGAGGGCAAGAGAGCAGAGGAGGGGTCACTGCCTGGGCAGTCACGTGCAGTTGCCCCGTCCTGCTGAGGCCTGGGCATCTGGTGAACTCCGGACTCACACACCCGGATCCTCGCTGCACACACAACAGGCGTTCGGAGCCCAAGCCCAGCTGCACACCGAGCCTGGGCTGAGCAGAGGCCACAGTCAGCTCTGTGGCAATGACCAGACCCCGGGGACAGTAACTGGCTCGCCTCTAAGCTTTACGGAGGACTTAGAAAGGCAGATTTCCCAAACAGAGCAAAGTAGCTATGATCCATCTGGTTTGGAATTCTAAAGTGGTGCAGTGCACACAGGCGTCTTCTGAGGAGCTCACTAAGTACAGAGGGCCTGGCCCTACCCTGGCCTTGGTCTTGCCACTGTCTAGGCTGGGCCTGGGAATCTGCGTTTGCAGCGAATGCCCCAGGGACCCTTGCATTTCTGCACCCCTGGGCTGTATAACTGCATGGGAAAGCAGCAGAAAGCATTCCAAGGAGCTAACCTGCTTAATGTTAATACTTTAGAAAGTGGCACTGATCTCTGAATTGGTGCTAGGTTTTTAATGGTAATGGTAGGGGGGAGGACATACTGGCTTAAACAGTCACTTAATATATAATTGGATGTACAAGTTGTGATAAAAATATGGTGATACTTAAAAGTTTTGAAAGATGTATCACAGTAAGAGACCCGTAGCCCCCCATACCCCCCTCATTGCTCTGCCACTTTCTGAAGCAGTTCTGGGAGTCCTCTTGCGTGCTGCTGAGGCTGCCTCTGTGCTGAATCAGTTAAACGCCTTTCCCTTTCGTGGTCGTTTTGACTTTGGGGAAGAGCCAGAAGTTGCACAGGGCCAAATCCGCTGAATATAGTGGGTGAGGACACAGCATAATGTTTTTACTCGATAAAAATGGCTGTAAATATTTTGAATCGATCCAGGACATCGAGGCCACCATGAAAAGACACTCAGGAAAGAGCACTTCCAGAACTGCTTCAGAAAGCGGCAAGAAGACTGGACGAGTGTGTTTGCAGTGTGGGGAGTGTTTTGGGTAATTAAGGCAATGTGCCTTTTACTATAATAAATATTTAAATGTGAGCATTCACTGTATTTTTCAGGATTTGAATGTTGAGAAGAGGTGTGCTGGCTTGGCATTTCTGTTTGTCAGAGGGGCGGTGGGATTTTTCAGATCTTTTTAAAAGCATGAGAATCATCCCTCTTGGCCTCTCCCTTCCCGGGTGTGCACAGCCGGCTGCCTGCCCTCATTCCGGCCTCTTCTCACAGGCTGGTCCTCCGCCTGGACCAGCAGCCCGTGCTGTCTCCTACCTCGCAACTCCTGTGTGCAGTGATCGCTTCACTCTGCCTACGGCCAGCCAGGCTTCTCCTGTCCATAAGCCTGACGGGATCTCCCACCCCGCCTCTAACCTGTGCCTCCCGACACGCGCTGCCTCACTGTGCCATTCTCCTTCTCAAATGCGTCCCCACAGTCACTCGGTCTAATTCGCTTCCTCGCCTCCAAGTCCTCCTCCTCCTGACAGGATCTTCCCTGGAGATTCCACTGAGCCTTTCTTCCCAAGGTCACCATGCTGTCCTTTGGGGTCATTTGTTTCCCTTCATCTCATGCCTCCGTCCCCTCACCAGCTGAGCCACTGTCCCCGTGGCCCTTCTGACACCAGACCCTGCCTTTCCACCCTCCCCTCTGCTCCGCCATCTCTGTGCTGGTGCTGTGCCTGCTTCCTGCGTCTGTTCTTAGCCTGTCCTCTTGTGGCTCCTTTCTCCTCACAGATGGCACCTGAATGTTCATTTATTTCCAGGCTTGTTTTCACCTCTGAGCTGCAGACTCACCCCTCTGACATCTCTACTTGGGCTCCACCTGAAATATCTAAGGTGGCAGCAAACTCACCATAGGCAAATGGTTTCTCTTCCCAGACCTGTTGTCTCACACACCCTTTCCATTTCAGAAAACGTACTGTCACCTGTCCAACTTGAGATTTATCCTTGCAGGGCTGGGGATACAGCTCAGCAGTGCAGTGCCTGCCCAGCAAGTGTAAGGGCCTGGGTTCAATTCCCAGTACCAAAAAAGAAAAATGGGGAGAAAAGACCTCTCCCCCAAAAGAAACTCTTTAAAAATACTTATGCTCATACCAAGGAGTCAAGAATAAATTTTAGTGGGTGTGTTTGTGTGTGCATGTGTTGGATCACAACACCAGGTGTGTGTATTATTGCTATTAAGGGTTAAGTTAAAACGGTTCAAGCCCACACCCTGTGACTGTGTCCTGCCTTAGGGCAGGACCTTTCCAACCTACAGAAGGCTACAATGTGTGCCACACACACTGGGCACCCAACATTGGCAGGACCTGGAGTTACATATAAAAGCCAAATATCATGTGTTTATAAAAACTACAAAGTTATAAATCAAACTAATCAACTGCTGGATAAATGTTTTATATTCCCCTATCCTGACAAAGCCACACATTCCTCAAATGTCCACTTTAAAGTGTGGCTGCACAAGGGGAAATTGGCCCAAGTCTCCTGCCCTGGCCTCTGGCTCATCTTCCATTTTACACCCTCTCCTCCTGCCCATCCCCAAGCCCTGGTGAGCAGATCCCCAGCCCTCGGGTGCGGCCTCCCCCGCCCTGCCTCCTGCCCAGTAGCCACTTCCTTAGGGCTCAGGACAGAAGCCCGCTCCATCACCAAGGGGGCTGAGGTCACTTGCAGAGAGAATTCCAGTTCTAGAAGAGGGCCATGGGCACCCTGAGCCAGCTGCTCCTCTCCCTGCAGGGCTGGGCATGGAGAAGGATGGCTAGCATGGTGGTGCTGAGCTGGGCAGACCAAGGTGGTAACCTTCAGGTGCCCTAACACCTCTACTTCCGCCCAAACACTCTTCCTCCTCAGACCTAAGTTCAGCTAACCGTCTATTGGACACACAGGTGTCCCACTGCCTCTTCGAGGACCTGGCATTGCATTAAGAATCCATTCCTTTGGGCTTTTAAGCCTTTTTGATCTTCAACACAGCAAGCCTTTGAGTTTCTGCCATTTTCAAAACATCACAAAGAAATCAAATATGATAGGAAGCCTTTTTGACATTAAGGATCATATCATTTAATCTACCAAATAAGATAAACATAGACCGGGCCACACTATCAATGGGATTGGTGACAAGGGTTGAGGAGAGGGGCTCGCGAAAGTCTATGGGAAGGATGTGGAGTTCGAGAGACAGACGTTGAGGATCCTGTAAAGGGTAAAGGTGAGTGGAAAAGCTGTTCCCGGCAGAAAGAATAGCTTGAGCCGGGGCAAGGTGGCAGGAATGTGCAGTGTATGTTCAAGGAGAGTCCTATTTGCCAGAAGAAAGTGCAGGGAGCGTGGTAAGCTCAGCACAAGGAGGAGGATATATTCAACTCAGTAGGCATGGGGGCCATTAAGGTTTTGAGAAGGGACAATATTATTACTATTAGAGTAAAGTTGTAGGAGGGTTATCTGGCACTGCATGCAGGCCGAGTTGGATGAAGAGGAAAGGAGAGTTGAGTGGTGATTGTGTGTTCTTTTCCTTGGCTCTCCCTCTGCTACCACCCTAATGGATTGAGACTGCTACTGTTTCTCATCCTGGTAAATGCGGATCTAGCAGCCACATGAATTGGCCATTGATTGGACCAAAGCCTGGGTGGGGATAAAGAGAAGAGGTGGGAGAGCCATGCTGGCACCTGGTGGGAGATGTTCTGATGCTGTGACAGCTGGAATCGCTGGCTTGGATGGGGAGCAGTGAGGAGCTTGAGGTAAGGCACTAGGCACACTGCATTACAGATCCTGCTGGATACTCAAGTGGGGTGTGCAGGATGTAGCTGTTAACTGAGGTATGGAACTCTGGAAATAGGGATGTTGAATGGATTAGAATAATCTTCATTTGGAGGTGAAAGCTGGAAATTCAAGAGTAGAAAAGAGCTAAAGAAAACAGAGGTCAGAAGAAAGAACAGCTTCGAGATCCCATATTCATAGTTGAGCTTGCCCAGCAAAGGTGTCTCCTTCAGCCTTCATGGGTTAACACCGAAGCGAACAGAAGAGGGTGGAGTGGAAAGAGGTGCACTAGCAGCCCCCCACCACATGGCCTCCATCCTTGTGTGGCCCTACGTACTAGTTTGCAACTAAATCTGCCCAGAAAAATCTAAGCTGGAGAGGCTCAATTGACTCTTGTGGCTGACCGGAACCTTGCATGAGGTCTGAGGTGCTTCCCCTGTGGCACTTACCTGGCAGGAAGTAAAGCCACCAAAGCCAGAGGTCCATGTTCCCTTCTAGAGCGAGGTCCTGTCCAGAAGGCCCTGATGGGGTCAGAGACCCGGTGCTCACTCAGGAGCCGTTGACAATCAGGACCTTGAAGGTGATGCTGGCCCCCTTCAGGGGTGAAAGCTTCAAAATGAGGAAATGATCACTTGTGTTGTTTGTTAACTTGTCTTAGTCTAAAAAAGAAAACATCAGCAGACCGCAAGGGAAGTCAGCTGAGAAAACACTTTGTACTGCACAAGAATGGGTGGGCAGATCTCAGGGGCCTCTAGGCAGCCACAGGCCTGATATTTCCTTCCTTGGTGCTTGTCTTCCAGGGGCCTTTGGTGATTTGTGCATAGTAGTGGAGCCCTGAGCTCGAATCACTTACTTTATTCCTGTCTACAGAGCAAAGGAGCCTTCTAACCCATTCACCCCATCAGAGGAAAGCTGTGTGGACAGAGCTTGGACCTAAAGTCCAAAGATGCTGGTTATGGTCCTACTGGTCGCCATTAACCACTTGACTAGTACTTCTGAGCGCCTTCTACGTCATGATGCTGACCATGGATTGTGGGCACTCACTACTTCCCTCTGAGCCTTGGTTCCTTTATTCGGAAATTAAATGAAGGCAGGACTGGATGACTGCCTGCCTTCCCTGCAGCCCAGCGTGGTTCCTGGGTCTTCCTGACAGCTCACCAGTGCTGGGACCATCAGCTGCCTCGGTAAGGTGTGGTCCTCTGGCATGGTCCAGTGGCCACAGAGGCAATGCCAGGAGCAGAGTGGGACCAGGCACACAGTAACACTGCTTGAACTCGCGGTAGCCTGGCGGAGCCACCTGCAGGACCCAAGGGCCCGATGATGGAGGAGAAGCGACCCCGAGCGAGAGTCTTTAGGTCTGGATTAGAAGCTCAAGTCCTGTCTTTCCTTGGTGCTTCCTAGCTTCCTGCAAGCTTCCTTGGGCCGCAGTTTTCACGCTGCTAAATGGGGCAGTCTGAGGGGCTGTCCTCCCCACCTTTTGTGACGCTGGCACAATGACAGATGTGGAGGTGCCGCGTGAGCCCTGAAAACTGCCACAGGCTGGGCTTTCCTCCACAGAGGGCTCCCCGCTTCCTCCTGGCTGTTTCAGGTTAGACTTTGGCTCTCAGGGGCCCATCTCCATGTGCTGCTGCCGGCTGTGCCCCTGAGGACGTGGGCCATTCCCACACCGTCCCAGGCGGGGCTGGCTGCCAGAGCTTCCCGGCTCCTGGGTGGGTGTGTGCACCCCAGTTCCCCTCACCCCCACACACTAGATATGTCACATGCTCCCCAAAGCACAGAACAACTTCCGCAGTGGAAGGCGTGTGTGCCCCAGAGCAGGTGCAGGGAAGCGTGTGTGAGGGCGGCTGCCTGCCCCGCCCTCCCCAGCTGGGTCTGCTTGGCTCGACTCACAGCTGTCCCCACGATGCCCTCCACAGCAGGCGGGCCAGGGCGTGGGGGGAGCGTGGGCCCGGGTTAGCGCCTGTGGGGGCTCTGGCTGGCATCTGCTCGCTCCCTACAGAGAGGCTCCTGCAGCTGTTCCACAGCTGGGCTCTGCCATCCTCTGCTTGCTGCAAGCTGGGATTGCCCTGCGGACCCAGGGGACAGAGAGAGTAGGAGCGAGCGAATGTGCCGCGCATGGCTGCGGTGAGGATGCAGTGTGCAGTGCACGAAGTGTGGCTGTGAGTCCGCAGGCCTCAGCGTGGACTTTGTGGTGTATGAGTGTGTGAAGTGTGTGGGGTGTGATGCTTGCACGTGTGGCGTGTGCGTCTATGGAGATCAGAGCAGCCCAGAGGCTGGGCCTGCCAGGCAGCGCAGGCTGTGTGCAGCTGAGAGAGGACAGAGAGCTCTTCTTGCCCCACAAGCAGCACCTAGAAGCATCGCATGGGGCTCAGACCGGGAACAGGGGTGTGAGAGCCACGATGGGAGGTGACGCGGTCGACCAGAACTCCCAGCCCACCTGAGGCACTGCCCCAGGGTCTTGCATGTTGGGCCCAAGGGAAGACTGGCCCCTGGGTGAATTGTACAGTTTACAGCCCCTGTTTCCTTCTCTTCCTTTTTCTCCTGTGAAGTTGACCTCCTTTCTACTCCAAGGCCACCATGCTCCCCGGTGCTCCTCCTCCCAGGGGCAGGCCAGGCTGTTGCAGGCAAGGAACAGGAGACTTGAAGCTCACACCCTCTGGGCCCAGATGGGAGGGGCCTGATGGAAAACATTCAGAACCGTGGACAGGCAGGTGGAGGGGATAAACCACACCAGCTACACGGGGCTGGGAAGGATCCAGATCCTGCAGGCAGATCCATTTCTTCTCCACAAGCCCCTCCTAAACTGGGCTCTGCTGCCCTCCCCTCACAGCATTCCTTCCAGTCTGGCTGTGGGAGGCAGGCGGCAAGCCTTACCAGGGGCTCGGCACGCTGCCTGGGTGCAGGAAGAAGAGTGGAGAGGCCTTGTCGCTGCGGTGAGGCGGCTGTTGTGGGTTCTGCTTGATGATTTTGTTCTCCCCTGCCCCCCCCACGGCCAGGCTCCAAGGGTCATCTCCTTGGCCTGTCTGTTGGATGGCCTCCATCCTTGGGTCGTCCTCCTCACCCTCAGTGCGCCTCTGGGCAATGACAGACCGTGACAATCCTCCTGTCTGGTGGCCTCTTCGGGGAGCCCCTCCACACCAAGCAGAGGCCCCTGGCCTGGGCATCCTGCAGCTCCTGTTTCCAGGAACCTGGGCCACAGGCTCACCTGTCCCCGGGCGAATGGCTGCAGGGCTTTGGGGTCACTGACTGCCCCAGTCAGACTGCTTAGAATTTTCTTCACAATCTATGTAGAATTATCATGGCTGAGGTTTATTTGTTTTTTCTTTTTTTATATATATATACCAGGGATTGAACTCAGGGCTTTGTGCTTTTGAGGCAGATGAGGCGACACTGTGCTAAATCCCCAGCCAAAGGTTTCTTTCTTGAAGGTGGCTGTATTCCTGCTGGTGTCCTGAGGTTCAAACTCTGTAATTACAGAGATTTTGGGTGAAGTTCAATGCAGGGTATCTGTGGGATACAGAATTTTAAAGTGTTCACACGCCTGTCTCCAGGACGAATTCTTGGGCTCTTTGGGCATCCATCGGCAGCACTTTCTTCTGTCCTTCGTCAGCCTTAGAGGAGAGGCTCTAGATCCAGCTTACAGACTGCACGACCTCCCCATTCCCGCCTGAGCTTCCAGCCCACCTGGGGGCCACGGGTCTTAGGTTTGCATCTTTTCTCTCATGTGTGCACCCCCTGGCCACTTAGATACATAGTTTTTCCAAGCTGATCCCCACTCTATTTATTGTGCAGAATCCCTGGCAGAATTGATTATTTTGGGGAACCTAGGAGGTAGGAACTCTACCTGCTCTCTGGCATGGAGTCCAGCTTCACTGAGATCATGGCCAGTTCCTCTCTGCCATCTAATGTTCGTAGAGCAGTTTCTCTTTTTTTTTTTTGAGGCATGGAAAGTTCAGAGAAAATTTTTTTTAGCGTCACAAAACCAAACTAATTGCTGTAACAAATTTCTAACCACTGTTGGGCTTGGTAACGGAAAAGCTGTATCATTGCCTCACAGACTTTAGCAAGATAAAAACCAAGATACTCCAAGACCTTGGAAAGGATTTCTTGTTATCAGATATTTAAGTAGTTCCCTGAATGCCTGTGGTCCTTGGCAACTGATGTGTTACCACCAGTCACAAGTTGGCCCTTCCTCCCTTTGTGTGCCTGATGCCCTCCCAAAGGCGCGTTCTCCTCTGTCATGGGTTTCCTCACGTGCTGCCTGGGGAGCAGATGAGCTCTGGGCAGGACACTGGTCAACTTGCTCTCAGCTACTGACCATCCTAGTTCAAAATGAAGTAAGACTGCGTGTGCAGTTGGTGACTCTTCTTGGCCTTTGATTCCAGGGTTCAGGATGGACTACACAAGCTTGTGATTGACTTGCGGGTCTTAGCGCAGCAGCTGTGTGTTCCTGGGGGTGACAGGTGCTGGCATTCCTTACAATTTTAGTTCTCCTAGGAAGGTTTATTGTTATTTTAGGAAAATCTAGATCTACAGCCCCATCATAGAGAAGAGGGAATTCATGTTCCTGGTGGCGGTGACTCCTGCTTGGGGAAGCCCCCGAGGCTTCGAGCCAGTCTGGAGCCTGGGATTGGGGACAGCAATCTGTAGCTGGTGGAGACAGCAGCTTTAGTGGCGGCAAAGGCAGACTCAAGGAGTGTACCACATCCAAGGCCAATGTTCACTTGAGGGAGGATAAAGGACTAAAGACTTCTCCAGACCACCACCCAGGCCATGAGGGAGACATAGGTGTATGAGAGGGGAGTGAGCTGCCAACAGACAATTTGGATCTTCCTTATAGCATGCCACATAGTTTAGTGCTAATACCTAGGGGCGATCTTAATAGGCTGGGTCAAAGCCAGGCATGGTCGTGCACACCTGTAATTGCAGCACTCAGGAGGGTGAGGCAGGAGGATTGCTGCGAGTTTGAGACCAGCCTTGGCTACATAGTGAGTTCCAGGTCAGTCTCAACTACATAGTGAGACCCTGTCACAAAAAAAAAAAAATTAATTAATAGGCTGGGTCTTTTATCTAATCACTATACCCTAAAAAAGACCCTAGATCAACTGCTGTACCCCATAAGTTATCATCTAATTAGCTTCTGTGGTTTAGATTAGCAGCATCTTGGTCTTGGAGAGCATCCGAGATTCAAAATTAAGTATCTCATGGAAGTTTACCATGAGTTTTCTTTCAGCACCTACGTGGTTCTACTCATTCTCAGTTTAGTCCACTAAAGTCTTATTGATGTTCTACAGTATAGAACTCTAGGGTCTTGACCATTGGGGTAGACACAAAGCAATTCTTTTATTGAAGATGATCTTGGTTCCACGTTTAGCCACTTTCCTGCCCTCTTCAGCTCAGCCTTGGAGCTCAGGGAACCTGTTGGTTTAGACGCCTGACATGGGTGCCTAAAAGTGGGACCAAAGCAAAATGCTACGAAAGGATTGTCTGGGAAATCACAGGTGTGGGCACAAATGCAACCTGAGCCTCCTTGGTGGCAATCACGGTCTTTAATTATGAAGTAACATTTCTGATTCATTAGCAAGTACCAGCTTACAGACGCTGAGTGAAGTTCGGAGCTGAGAGGGAAAAGACCTTCATCTCTAGCGCTTGGGAGATCAGCTACCCCCAGGCTCGGTCAAACACCTCTTCTTCCTCTCCACTTGGAAGGAACTCTTCAAGTCGCATGTGATCGTTCCTCCATCCCAGATCCACGTGAGTGACAGGAAGGGAGAAGGCCGTCTCCCCTGGGTTAGGGCCTGTGAAAGCTCTGCCTCCGTGTACATGTTTCTTCCCTTCCTGCTTATTCTACAGTTGCCTCCAACAGGGGACAGGGGCTCAAAGAGAGATTGCTGGTCAAGAAGATAGGAGATGCCCGATCTTTTCGATGCTGGTTTATGTCACAGGGTGCCCGCCAGGTCCCTCTCAGGACCCCTGTCCTATCTAGCGGAGTAAGAATGTGTATCTGTGAAGACTGCGTGGATGCCCCAGGACCCTGGCACTCTATGACATCCCCCAGCAAGGGCAGAGGTGAGAGGTCTCGTGTTCCTGAGTGAACAGACGCAGAGGCTCTGGCCTTGTCCGGGGACATGCATGTGGCCTTTTAAGGCACACCTGTCCCAGTGTGCAGCAGGGCACCTGGATTCACACACGTCTTTGGAACGAAGGAAAGAGGAAGACAGGAAGGGAGGGAGGCAGAGATGAAGCAAAGGGGTAAATCTCACCACACGGGTACAGAGGTCTCCAAATGGCTCTTTCCTGAGATGAGCCCCAACTGGTCCCTCTGCTTTCAGGGTGTCCCCTCCCTGACTCCTCCCCCAGTACCCTAGGTTCTCTCAACAGAAAGAAGCTGCGGGTGGGCGCCCCTCACCGAATCACTCCCTCGCACTAACAGAGGCAATTAGGCGAGGCTTCAGCGTCACCAAGGGTGGAGAAGGCGGAGCAGCGCACCTCTGAGGATGGGGGAGCCCTGGTGGGGTGAAGGCAGGCAGTGGAGACCCCTGGAGCGGGGGCCCCGAAGATCAACATGATTCTGAAGGTGATTGTCATGGGCGAGCGACAGGTGTCTGGTGCTGCTCAGGCATCCGTGGGGCCGTCCTGGGCCTGGGCAGCAATGTTGCTGGACTGGATCAGGAAGGCCGAGTAGGCCATGTCAGCTTCCTCCTTGGACGACTGAAGGCAACAGCAGAGACACTGGTGAGTGGGGCTGGGAAGCGGGGATAACTCCTGTCCTGGATTTGTCCTTGGCCTGAGCAAGGCCCCTGTGTGACCCCATCCTCCCTCCAGCTCTTTGCTCACCAAGAGGACTAATTGTGAGAAATGGAAAATTGCAGCCTCTAAAAATACCTCCCTCTGTCTCACTACCTCCTTCTGACACACGGGGCGGAACCACCTCCGTGGCCTGGGCCTGTCCCCGGAAGTGGGGCCACACAGCCCCCGTGCAAGGTGGCCTAGAATGGCACCAGCCAAAGAGGTCTGTGGTTTTCTTTCTCCACCAGCTCTGAGAGGTCGCTCCAGCACCCCCCAGGCTGGCGGAAGAACCCTACTCCAGGACCAACTCCCTCTCCTGATCGGGGCAAATGGGGACCCCAGTGATGTGAGGAAAGCAGAGACCAAACACCACTGTGCCTCGGGGTCAGAGGAGAGGTGGTATCCTTCCGGGGGCCAAGGCCTGAGGGGAGGGCACTGTGGAGTTCAAAGGCAGGCATTGCCTCTGTGGATTCAGGCTCTGGCACCTTGTTGCAGTGGGCAGGGGTGCCCAGTGACGATCGAGTGTCCACAGTGAGCAAATGTCTTCTCGGTCCAGCCAAGCCCTCACAGGAGGGTGGGTAACCAACCCCTGGGGAGTCCCTGGTCCCACAGCCCTGGAAGAGCATCCACCCTGTCCCCGGTGTTGACGTGTGAGCTTCCTTGCTTCCTCTACCCTCCTCAGCTCCTGGTTTCCTTCCCTCCTCCAAGTGCAGCTCTCCTCCTTCCTTAACCTCATCTGCATCAACATTCCACAACCAGGAAGCCACATCCCTCCCTCAGGAAGACCGCCTCCTCCATACTATTTCTGCCATCTTCCCTGCTCTGGGGTCAGCCCCACATGGAGGTGATCTTCTCCCCGCGTCTGGCTGACGCCCCTCTGCCGCAGTTCTGCCGTGGCCAGGCCTCCCTCCCTGCTCCCCTTACCCTTTTTGCCCTCTTGGGCTCCTCAGTGTCCACGGTGCTCTCGGCATTGGCCATGGCCTCTGTGTGGAGAGAGTGGCCCGTCTCACCTACCCTGTTCTCACACAGGGACAAGGTCCGACCCAGTCCCACTGCCCAGGCTCTGGACGTACCGACTTTCCCTTCAAGCTCTGTCTCCTGAGTGACTGTGGAGGCTCCCACGTTATCACTGCCACCGAGATCTCTGGAGTTCTCGAAGTCCGACATGCTGATGTCTGTCCGGTAGCTTCTAATTGATAAGCGGTCTGTCGAGGAGGAAGGATCGGTGTGGGAATGGGCATCCGCCCTCTCTGAGCAGGTCCCCTGAGCCTACAGGGCAGCCGAGGCTTTGGGGGCCTCTCACAGCCACCTCGGACTCTGACCAAAGCTGACAGAAAAGATCCCAGTCCCTTTTTGTGGGTAATCAGGACATGATGATCCCTGACCTTTGTCACTCGGTGACTCTCAACACACAGTGCCCCGTTTTGCCCTCATCATCCCATGGGATGTTGTCATCCTGCCTGGAGTGATGAGGGAACGGAGGAACGAAATGGGGATGTGCCAAAGTCACGCACTGTACCAGTGATCAGGGAGGTCAAAGCCCAGGTATCCTGGCATCCTGGTCGCCTAGCAACCTTGTATGTGAACTTAGCCCCAAGCAATGGGACATGGCCTGCCACGGACAGAATCTGGACAGTGGTACCTAGTTAATTTGGGGGAGTCTGGGGTGCATCTCCTAACCCCCATTCCCCAGCCTCTGCTTCCTCGGAATCCTCTGTGTGAGCCTATGGAAAGGAGGAGGTGTGACGGCCTCCTCTCCAGGCATCTGTGCTAGGACTAAGGGCTCAGGGCTCGGGGCAGCAGGTGGCTGGGGAGGATTTGAGGACTCACCCACGTTCTTCCGGTGCCGGGCTCTGGCCACCCACACAGCCACGGTTCCTATCAACAGCACCAGGCCCAGGGGCACCAGGGTGGAGAGCAGAACTTTGGAGGTCCTGCTTTGTCCCTGAGAGCTGAAAGAAGAATTACATTAGTCTGTCACAGGACAGAGGACCTGAGGGCTCTAGGCTGCACTGTAAAATGGACTCCCGCTAGTGCCCACCCCAGTGCTTCCTGATAGAGCTCCTTGCTCCTTTAATAAGTCTCCAGGCCCAGCAAGGCAAGAACAGGGGTGTTGCTGCCTCCCAGCCCTGGGAGTTGGAGCTGGAGCTGGAGCATAAACCCCGCCTCAGCCGTGAGAGGACTGAGGGTGTCAGGGACCCCAAGGCATAGGCAGAGGCAGTGCTGGCTCTGCTCTCTGACCCTAGTGGTCCAGACTCAGCCGCTTGGCCTCTGAGGTGTGAGGAGCCCCGGATCTCTGCTCACCTGCTGTCAGAGCTGGATGCTCTGCTCCCACCGGCTTGGTTTCCTGGGTCCTCCACCACTCTTTCCTCAGAGAAAAGCTTGGGGTTCAGAACAGCTTTGTTCTGGATGGCTTTGTTCTCAACCTCCCTGCCTTGGGGCACTACCACCTCCTCCTCGGGAGCACTGTTTGCAATCTGTGGGTTGGCTGGGTTGGGGACTCCAGACCCTGGAGCAGAGAAGAGCAAGGGCTGGGTTAGGGTTTTATCTTCACGTTCTTACTCTTGGAGGTAAGGAGGTCTGAGCAGTGAGACTTCAGGGATCACAGGGCTGGGGTTAGAGGTCAGGGCTATTGGGCTGGGCTCCGCCATGGCACTAGAGACAGAGTAGCCACAGCGTTCTCTAGCTTGTCACAGGTGGTCTTTTCCCCTCTGCTACCAAGTTTACCTCCATGTTAATGGCTGGGGCCATAGATCCAGCTCTGAACAGGGGAGGCTGAAAGCCCGCTCCAGGCCCAGTGTGTGCAGGGCTGAGCAGGACAGTGCTGCCGCCTGGTGGTAGCTTGGCACCTCCATGCACCAGACCCAGTGGACCTGGACCCCATCTGGACTCCCAGGGAGGCTAAAAACACCCTAAGAGCTTTCACGTGGCATGTAAAAGTGGTTGGAAGTGAAAGTTGGTGTTGCCTAGAGTTTTTTCTTGTTGGTGCTGGGGATTGAAGGGAGGGCTTCCCACATGCTGAGCACATGCTTTAGCCCTGAGCTACATCACCAACTCCGTGCCTCCATTTTTTGGATCTGACCTTGTGAATAAGGTATCAGGTCCTCTTCTGAGAGCAGGTCTGGGTAGAGTGAGGGAGGATGAATAGTCGCATAGAATAGTGACTGAAGTTTCTACACACAGAAGCCCATTTAGAGATAGAAGGTTTCTGTCTGGTTTGCAGGGTGAACGTGGGACTCATGGTCCCGTGTGGTCAATAAGCGAACCACCAGTTTTCTACACACAGAAGCGCATTTAGAGATAGAAGGTTGTGTCTGGTTTGCAGGGCGGCCGTGGGGACTCATGGTCCCGTGTGGTCAATGAGCGAACCACCAATTTTCCTTCACTCCCTCACCCAGCTTCCTGCAGCCAAACCTAGGGACCCTGCGACTGAAAAGTTGTTAAGCAAAGGCCTTCGGGGTGCCGTGGGATGTGGGATTGTAGACTCACCCCTCGCCGCCTCCTTCACCGCCAGATAGACAGCCGCAGTCTCTCCGAAGGTCTCGCCCTCCTTCACGCCACACCAGTACCAGCCCTCGTCCTCCCTGGTGACTGACTGCAGGCTCAGGGAGATGAGCCCGCTGTCCGGGTCACAGCTTGTGTGGGCCTGGCCGGGGCTTTCATCTTGGCTGGGCAGGGCCGGGCAGCCCTGGTCGCTCCACTTACACCAGTATTTAATGTCGGCTTTGAATCTGCATGGGTAGTGGCAGTCGAGCTTGACGGTCTCTCCTAACACAGCGGTTGTATTCTCTGGTACCTTGAGGCTCGGTTCCCCTGCAGTGAGGAGGGACGAAAGAAATAGGTCACACCACTGAAAAACAGCACTTGGAGATGGTGTGCAAAGGGACTGCGGTGGTGACCTCCGTGTGTTTCCTCTGTGGAGCGCATTGAGATAAAGGCGTTATGCTGGGCGCCCACAGCACGAATGATGTGCTGATGTAGCGATAGCCCAGGACTCGGAGAACACAGCTCCTGGCTGGCTGCCTGCAGTGTGCTTTCCTCACTCTGCCTGTTCTCCTAGACTCACCCCCAGAGCCGCCTCCCGCGCTCTGCCTCAGGCTCCCTGCCGCAGCTAGGGAGGCCGCTGTTCCTCACAGTAGGAGCTGCCCCACGCGGCGATGGAAAGAGCAGAGGGGGCAGCCACAGGCCTGAAAATGTGGCCTCTGGACAGGTTGGGCTGCCTTTTGGGAAGGGCCCCCGTCCCCCATCCGCGTGTGTGTGGCGAGGTAGGGGAGGCTTGACTGCACGGAGCTGCCTCTACGGGAGTGGCCTTGGGGCTTTCTCCTTCCCTCCTGCCTGGTTCCGATCCGCTCTCTCATACCGTCCACAACCTTGAGCTCCACCGTGGTCCTCCAGCGGATGTCGCCATTGGTGAGGCACCAGTAGAAGCCGGCGTCCTTCGCGGTGAGCTGGTTGAGGATGATGGTGTAGGAGCCGTTGCCCGGCTCCTCAAAGAGAGCCAGCCTGCCCTCGTACTCCGCCTGAACCAGCCCCTGGCTCTCCACCAGCAGCAGGCAGCGGGCGTTCCCTTCCCCTTCCCAGCGACACCAGTACTTCAAGCTCTCGCTCTCCTTGGGGTTGTAGGGGCAGCGCACAGCCACAGAGCCACCCGTCACGCCCTTCACGACGGTGGGAGTCTGGGGGATTATGGTCTCTGGAAGACAGATAGAGACGGCATGAAAGGGATGCAAGGCAGGGACGGCCTTGCCTGGCCCGAGCAGCTTCCCCCGGTGGTCTCAGCCAGGGAGGAAGGTGAAGTGCAGACGAAGCAGCTGCCCCTCCTCCTCTGAGTTGCACAGCCCATGGCTAGGGCCACCAGGAGCAGCGCCAGTGCCCTTCGCCACCAGTATGTGTACGCAGTATGTGTACAGTATTATGTACACCCAGTATGTGCACAGTTCCGAGAAGAGAATGGAGCGGATTTAAGAAGAGAATATCAGCTCTTTCCTTTGGCTTCTTGCAAAGCACATCTGTGTGAGTCTTAGCTTGTCCTACGAAAATGTCCTAATGGACCATTTGTACATTCATAACATTTATCTGGAGTGGGCACGGTTTAACGCGTAAATAGAACAGACTGCTAATCACCAAGACCCGAGAAGCATCTCAGACAGAGGACAGGTACTGCCCCAAGCAGCCAAGGCTGAGATCCAGGGAGGACCCGGAGAGGCTGAAGACAGGGAAGGTTGTGGTAAAGATCTGGAGCCAGAAGTGGAAGAGCAAGGACAGGGACTGAACCACAAGCACTGATCTCCTGAGGTAGCTGTGCAGGGAGAGAAGCAGCAGATTCTCCACGACTTTGCTATTCCCTGAAGTACAGCTGAGCGGGCCAGGTGGTGCTAAGGGGAGTGGGGGGTGGGAGAGAGGCGGCTGGGCACCACCGTTCCGGGGCGCTATGAGACCCAGCTGCGTGTGAGGGGTGGGCCGTCCGCCCGGCTCAAGGCTCAGGGCCGGGGAGGGCACAGAATCCGGCAGGCTTCGAGTCTAGAGCTCAGCTCTCCTCACTCCTGTTAGCTGAAGATGGCCATCCAGAGTCAGGGCGGTCAGGACCCTGCTCTGCTGCCCTGTGGCCCAAGGGTCAGGGCCCTGGACCGGCTGCCGCCACCGACTGAGGGGTGAGTCCTGTGGGGACCTAAGCCGCTCCGCCCGGCCACACTGCCCCCTTCTCTCCTGCCTCTGGGTCTCACCCTGGTTGATGAAGAGCTGCCAGGCCTGGAGGTGCCAGCCATCCGTTGGCACCCCGTCTGGGTGGGCGCCACACAGGTACTGCCCCTCGTCCCCCGTCCTCAGGCCTGTGATCAGCACACTGAAGCGGCCGTCTGAGGCGTCCCCGGGGAGGAGCAGGATCCTGCCCTCGAAGGCTGGGTCCCTCTTCCCCAGGGTGTTGATGATCACCTCGCAGGATTTGTCCTTGTTCACCCGGCACAGGAATTTGTGCACATTGGCCATCTCAGGGCCCAGGGCACAGTCGAACGTCACCGAGCCCCTCAGCTGTCCGTACACCAGCACAGGCTGGGGCTTCAGCACCTGCAGATCGACATACGTTTTGTCCCCGCTGGGGTCTTCCCCAGCTTGGCAGACGTACACCCCCGTGTCGCTGGGTCTCAGTTGGCTGATGACAACGCTGAATAATCGCTGCACAGTGTCTGGAAAAACCATGCGAACTCGGCCGTCAAAGTCGGAGTTCACAGCATTATTCGAGTCGATGATTAACTCGCAGGTCTCATCCTTCTCCTTGCACAGGAGCTTCTTCTTCTGAGCATTCTCACTGCTGAAAGGGCAGCTGATGGTCACCGTGCCGCCCACATCCCCGGTGTAGACCTCAGTGTCATTCAGGAGCCGAGGATCTGCAGGACAAGAGCGGGAGCTGTGATTTCCGTCTTCCAGGGAGATCAGCCTGGCCCCACAGAGGGACAGGCTGGGATGCAACCCTGAAAGCCTCATTGCCAGGAAGAACCCTGTCGGAAGACATTTACCGATGCTTAGAAAACGGCACCCCAAAAGTGAAGGCCTTAGAAGAAGCCTCAGGAAACAAAGCTTCTCTCTGACCTTCTGCCCTCCTTTCTTAGCCCTTTTTCTCCCTAAAGCCAGAGAAACCAGAATTCCTCTTCCCCAAGGCCAGCCATAGAACTAGGACCCCCACACCCCAAGGCTACCCCAAACCTGCCCCTGCCTTTCCGTAAGAGCTCACCATGAGACACTTCTCTGACTCGCACCTCACAGGAGGTGTCCTGCCTCCTACCTGGAGGAAGAAATGCCACCACCATGGGGCCGAAGAGATTCTGAACAGACAGCCCTGCTGGTTTTCTGCTAGGAGGCTGCACTCAGGCCATTTGGTCCCGTCCTGCTCTTCAGGGCCACTCCTGCCTCACCGGGCCAAGGATAATCAGAAGGCTTCCTCCGTGTCTTTGAAACAACATTCTGAAGGCCCGGTCCCCATGAACTTTGCTTGAGTGGATCCGTTATGTGCTCTCTCACTAAGCTGACTCTTGTTACACAGGTTCTGGTCGTGGCCCTCATGGTGGGCAGGATGCGAGTCCCCCCTTCATCCCCTCCACTTTCTAGGGTTCAGCCTGACTGCCGCTCCCCCAGTGAAGCCTTCCTCAAGCTGCCCTGGTCTCTCCCCGCTCTGTGCCCTTCTGCCTGGTGTCTGTATCGCTCACTACATCCCGTCTAGGGTGGTTACTTCCGAACTTCCCAGACCCAAGGGCGGAGATGCGTTTTTCTCACATTTAACTCTCCTGCTGTGGTCAGCATGATGCTCATTCCCAGGAGGCTCCTAAACTCATGTGTGTGGAATTAAACAGGGTGAATGTAAGGACAGCGTGGAGGTTCCAGGGCATTGCAGTAGACGTTTCTAACAATTAGGAGTCCAAACTTGGGATGGGCCGTCTTTCAAAGTAGTGATTAGTGCTTCTAGTCAGAGCTGTGTGCCATCATCACAGTCTTCTAGGGATACAAACAGAGCAGACTCTGAGTGCTCCCTGGCCCCTAAGAGTCTGTGAGGTTCTGAATCTCCACCATCATCAGGACACCTGTGTATGTACTGCACAGAGAAGAGCACACTTATCTTGAAGGAATAAGACACATCTTGGGGAGTTCCTCTAATCTCCTCCCTTAAGATTTCTAAGTCTCCTGTGACTGTCTAAAGTGCTCTTGGGCCCAGGATTTAGCTCCATGGTTCCATGGCCTGCTTAAGCGCAAGGTCCTGAGTTTGATCCCCAGTACCTAAATAAATAAAGTGCTCTCCTTGTTGAACTCAGAAAGGACCTCTCCTTTTTCACCTTTCTTCAGTCAGAACAGGCTTCATCCCTGCCTGTCTCTTCAGGATTCTCCTCACTGGTCAAGAAGTAAGACAGATGCTGATAGTTTTGATGGACTAATGGATCCCAGTTTATTGTCATCCTTGTTTTTAGAGTACTGCTAGAGTTTGGATCCAAGTCCTTCTTTATTTTTCATTTTGCAACGTGGTCTCACTAAATTGCTAATTTTCCCAGGCTGGGATCAAACTTGTGGTTCTCCTGCCTCAGCCTCCCAGAGTGCAGGGATTACAGGAGTGTAGCAGCATTCCTGGCTAGTGGATCCCATTTTTTAAAAATACCTTTTAAAAGAACTGGCAGTACAAGACTTTAATCTCCAGGGTGTGTTTGTAGCCAGAATCTAAGGATCGAAATAAATCTTTCTGTGCCTTTCCTATCACCTTAAACTATAGACCTCATGTCCAACTTCCAACAAACACAGGGAGAAAAGCTGTCCAAAGCCTGGGCCTCAGCACCGCCTTAAAATGTTACTGACCCGGAAGCCCAAGACAGTTTCGCTCACTGCACCCAGATAAACCTGCCTATCCCATTAGGTTCACTCCCCGAGCCTGGGACGCGGTCCCCACTGACTCCTCCAGGGGCCGCAGGAGCCCGATGCTTACCCTCGCTGACCTCCAGGCCCACATCGAAGTTCAGGCCTCGGGTGTTGATGCCCAGGCCGCACTTGTAGTGCCCAGAGTCTTCGCGGTTGACGTGGGTGATGTTCACCACGAAGTAGCTGCTGGCTGGAAAGTTGGTGAGGTCGGATCTGCCCACGTAGCCCTTGGAGATGTAGCCTTCTGAGGAGATGAGGGTCACACAGCTGCCCGTGGCTCCCTGCCGGCACCAGTACTTCCGGGTGTGCCTGTTGACCGAGGTGTCTGGGTAGTAGCACGTGATGGACACAGAACTACCTTCCATAGCGCTCACCACCTTGGGGCCGAATATGGGGCTTCTCGTGGAAACCACTGTGGAAAGAAAAGGCAGAGGTTTCCTGAGCCCCAGGAGGGAGCCAGGCCACCCACCCCGCGGAGATACAATTTGCCACCCAACACCAGTGCACTCTGCTTATTTACCAGCTACTACAGCCCCACATTGCTGCATGGGTCAAAGGATGGCTCGATCACTATTTGATTCTTACTGTGTAATTTCATCAATGATAATCTTTTCAAGGACGATGGAAGACAACCATGATATCCTTCGTGGTTTTAAAAACATTCATCACTTTTGCAGATGCTTTTGCATTTGCAACCTGCTAGTTCCTTGCGTTTCTATGCAGCTGGTTTCTTTTTTTCCAGATAAAAATATTAAAGCCAAGAAGGATGACTGGTTTCCTCCAAATCCATTAGTTAGTCGTGAATATGCTTGGTTTGAGATCAACTTCTTCTCCATCGCCAGAAAGGACCCCTGGTCTTGAGATTAGAGATTTCCATGCCTGCTCCCCCAGTTCCCAGGGCCTGGGGACCCGTTTTCAGATTCCTCCGCGGGACCCCTTTTAAAGGGGAGCGGACTGAGAGGAATGGCCGTAGGGCTGAGTCTGATTTCAGTGTCCCGGGGCGCTGGGGCCTGGTGACATACCTGGGAAGATGGCCAGCAGGGAGACAAGCAAGGACAGCATCATGGCCGGTGGCTCCCCAGGGGCCTGTGCTGCCCAGGCCTTCCGTGAGGTGCTGAAAGACAACAGCAGGAGGTGAAGACCCCCTGGTCCCCTGGGACCAGCTGGGCTGAGAGCTTCTGCAACGCCTGTTTGGCTTTGGATCTCCAGCAACTGGCTGGAGTGAGTGGAGCGTATGAGTGAATGGACCCTCCCTTCCCCCGACAACTTAAAGCCCCACCTTCCCGCAGAGCTTGTTTCTCAGCAGCTATGAGAAGATTCTGTGTCTCTGTCCAGGAGATGCGGCAGCGGGCACACTGCAAGACATCAGACCTGGCTGGACGATTGGTTACGCCAATAAGTGGCCCCCTTTCTGTTTGGCCCCCCAACATCCCTGTAGATGGAAGAGGCCGCCGTATTTTTTAGTGTGTTCAAACCTGTAAGCTGACAGCTGTAGGGTAGCTCTAAGAAGTATTAAGGTCGTAGGTATAGTGACAAAGGCCATTGCCATCACTGATGACTGTCTCACCACGCCCCTGGCACCGTGATGCATAATTTATATGTGTTATCACATTTAAAGGTGCTATCAACTTATAAACTGGGCACTCTTATCCACGCTTTACCTCACAGAAAGATGACCTTCTTCAACATCAGCAGGGGCTCTGCATGGGGGTGGGCAGAGAGGCTGGGGGATCTGAGCCCCGGCTTTGCCCTACTCCAGAATCCATTCTTGCAGCCCTCCACTGGACTGCGCCCACTGACAGGAGCCTTGTATTGGATGCCGATGCTTGTGGTTTGCAGAACCCCATTTCTGACCCTGTTCTTTTGAACTTTATAACCCCCCTTGAAATAAGACAGGTGTATAATCACAGCCATCTCATGCTAAGAAAAGTGATGCCCAAGATCTCCCAGGGCCCTGGTTATGGATTCAGAGTCAAAAACACAGATGCTTTGGTCTTTGGAACCCTGCCTGGTGGGGACTGGCAAAGACAGAGAATCTGAGGCCGCCGATGGGGACTTTGTCACTGCCTGCCTGTAGCTATCTTCTGACCCAGAAGGTGGCCTAGGGGAGGAGAGAGGAGTAGAAAGGGGTCTCCACTGCCCAGAGACTGGGACAAACTCAACTTTGGAATGGATTGGACGAGGTGTTAAAGGAAAAGTATGAAATAAACCTGGGGTGGTACGGAGCACCCACAAAGATAAGGAAGACAGGCACAGGAGGGAGGCTGGGGAGTTATCCCCCTGCCTCTGCCCTAGCGCCTGTGCCCAGAGACTTCACTGACTCGAGCCAAAGGCAATAGAGTTGTTTATCTTGGTTATTTCTTTTCCGTAGGGGAATTTCCCAGCCAGGATCCCTTTTATTTCCTGGTACAGATAAAGATATTCTGTTCCTCCAGTTCTCTGGAAGAGTTAAGGGCAGGGCGAGGACAGATGGAAGTCAGGTGGCCCCCTGAGGCTTTCCTAAGTGTGGCTTCTTGCCCAACCTTCTCACAGGCCAGAGATAAAGCCCTGGCACGGCACCTTTGGCCAGGGCCAGACTCAGCGCCAGTTGAGCGCCCTCCGGCTAGAGGCACAGCTGAGTAGGGGAAGCCGCCGGGCAGGAGCAGCTAAAGCCTGTCTTTTCTGCATCACTGGGGTGGGCTGGCTGCAAAGCCCGGGACCAGCGCTTGCCATTTGTGCCGTCCGAGTGCAGCCCTAGGTGGGAAAGCCACACGCCACACGCTGTCTTTCAAGAGCCCACAGCAGCAGTGACTGTGCGGATTCTCAGTCCATTCTCACTTCTCAGTGAGCAGCTAGGTCCTTAGCGTTTCCTGAGACCGGAGAGGTTCTTTCCATGGGCTGAGCGAGGGTCTCAGCCCTTCCTCTAGACTGGTAAAGTGAGCGACTCGCCCTGTGGGAGACCAGCCCAGGCTTCCTCTCCATTTGTGACGTTTGGTGGCTGGCAGCGTCCCCGTGGGAGGGGGGTTCTGTGGACCCATCACCCTGTGCACCCTAAGCAGCAGGGCCAGAGCATCGGCATGCACAGTTGGGAAGGCAAACCTGGCAGAAAATGAACCTGGCCGGGAAACAGTGCAGTGCCAGGGAAGACGCTGGGCAAGAGAGCACCCATGCTCTCAAGAGCAGAAACTCTTTCTTGCCCAGTGGTAAAATTTAGAACAGTTCTGTGGTAGCAGCTAAAAAGACCCTGGGCTTTAGAATCATCTCAGGCAGACTTTTTCCCCAACTCAGGAGACTCAAGTCCCAGGGAAGCCACAGCCGTAGGGTGGCTGAAGCTGGATTTAAAGGATTTGCTTAAGAAAAGAAAGAGCAACACCTACAATGTGCCATGTGGTGATAAGCCCTGGGCAGCCCTGGGTTCCTCTTTTATCTGATCCAGGGTAGATTTTATTATTTTCATATCGCAGATGGACATCTAAGGGCCAGAGTGATCCTTGACCCCAAGATCTCTGGCAGAAACAGAATTTAAGACTACAGTCCTGTTACTATCCTCGAATGGGTAAAGGGCTCTGTTCTATTGGGTTAAATGCAGACCATGTTTTGGGACATTTTCTGGTCCTGAAATCAGGACGTAGTCATTCTAGGGCATTGTTAGTTTGCTCTGGGTACCTGATACACCCATGACGTGTGTCCCGCAGCTGTGGACCAGGGAAGGAGCACAGGCTGCCCTGAAGAGTAGGCTGTCTCCACATCAAGCTCTCGGTCAACCCCATTCAGGTGCAGTGTGTGCCATTCAGCTGCATGGCCTGGAGTTTAAGCCTTTGCCCGTCTTGTCTCAGTGCCCTCTTGCTCAGGGGAGAAGGTTGGCTCGGACCCGGGCCCTGGCTGACATCCAGAGAGCCACTTGCTCTCCTGACCTCAGAGATCTGAGATCCCAATCTTCTTTGTGCCAGGAGAAAGTCATCTGGGGTTCTCACAGCCCCAGAGGCTGCGGGGAAACAGACAGTGACCATGAGAAGAGGAGAAGCTACAGCTGGCAGTTTCTCACGGCCTGGGAGATGGAGCTGGGGCGCAGGGAGCTCTGGAGTGCGGAGTGTGGACCACTGGCCTGCCAGGGAGCGGGATTTTCTTCACCGGGCCTGAACAGCCCCTTGCCCTGCTTCCAGGAGAGGCACTGCTTGGGCCCACCTGGGACTGTCACTCTCCTGTCCCATGGGTGCAGGGGCTGAGCGCAGACTGGAGAGAGCCTGGCCAGAGCTGCAGAAGAGGAGCTCTGAGGACACAAGAGACTCGAGGTGTCCAGGGTCCTGCTCTTCCCTGGGCTACAAGTAGAGATCTACCATGTGGACAGAACATGCTCGCTCAACTCACTCATCTGTGCAGTGGGGTCAGAGTCCCTGACAATTCTTGCTTGAAGGGCTAGAGGTGTGGGAGAGTGTGAGGGAGGGTAATGGAACAGTATGTATGGAAACACTTTAAATAACATCAAAGGCTCCCCGTGGAAGGAGATCACCATTATCGGCAGGCACAGGACAGGCTGGGCGTCTGGGATCTCGACTTTCGCTGTGGAGTGGCGCGGAGCACCCACTCCTCTCCAGGAGTCAGCTGTGCTTTGGAGTGGGCTGCTTAAATTCTGAGCCTCCATCCCTTCCTCTGTGAGCTGTGACAACTGTAGCACATGCAAGACTTCTCTGAAGCATGAAAACTCGCACACGGTCTTCCGCATGTCTAAAGTCAGCACAGCCTTCTTTCTCCCTGCAGCCGCGTGAGAGGAGAGAAGGCTGCTTGTCGGGCTCCATCAAGTTGGGAGTGAGCGCTCCAGGATGGGCCACGATGGCCGGGAGCAGCGTCGAGGGGCCCCAAGGGCCGGGTCCGAAGAATGCACACCACCGAGCCCTTCCCAGCGATCTGCATGTGGTAACTCGGTCCGTCTTGACAGCCACACAAGGTGGTAGGACAGAGTGGGCAGCCCCGTTTCACAGATGACACAGCAGAGGCACAGAGAGCTGAGAGAGCCCAGGGTCATGTCGCTGCTGATGGCTGCGATGGGAATCTGGATCAAAAGCGCTGGCTCGTAGCCTCTGTGCTGGGCCGCGGAGGGGCAGACCATTGCGCTCAGGCCGTGGAGGTGGGAGCAGCGCTTGCCCAGGGCCAGAGAAGAGGATTCGTTCCGTTTTCTCCTGCCCACCTTTCACCAGAATGGCAGTTTCGGGGAAGACACAGCTGTACCCGAAGTAGGAGCCAAGTGAGGGATTTCTCTCTGAAATCGATTCGCTGCTGTCGTTCAGGATCTTGCAGGTGTCTGTGTGCTCCGTTTATCTCTTGTAACTGGGCCTGTGGAGGCCAAAGCGTCCTTCACGTGGCGTCAGTGCTAGTGACTCAGACCGGGGCCCGCTTCACACCGAGAGAGATGTGGACGAACACGTGTGAGCAGTGCAGGTTGAGTATTCCTTCTCCCAATTCTTGGGACCAAGAGTGCTTTGGATTTGAGATTTTAAGCACAGTTTTTGAATATTTGCCTCTATATAATGGGATATCTTGGGGGTGGGACCCAAGCCTAGAATGAAAGTCACCTGCATTTCATATGTACCTTCTGCGTAGAAGCTGAGGGGGATTTTCGACGATGCCTTTTGTGCCCTGTGCTTTGATGGGGCCTCGCACGCGAGGTCAGGCGTGGAATTTTCCACTTGTGTCAAGGTGGTGCTCAAAAAGTGCTCGCTTTGGGGCCATTTCCGGTTTCAGATTAGGGATGCTCAACCTCTAATTTTTTTCTGACAGTTTGTCTTTTAGGTGACATTGGAGTGTCCTCACAGCCACATTAGAGTGACTGTCCAACCATGTCACCGTGTGTCGTCTGTACTCGCTGGGTGACTTTCAGCACTCACACCACTCTTGGAGTCTTGGTTTTCCCAAATGTGAAGTGGAAGCATGAGAGAAACACTGCCTGTCCCCCAGGGAGGCGCCGAGAGAGAAATCTCCCGAAAAATATCAGCTCTGTTTTCTCCGCACCCACCACGTGTAGGTGGAGCTGTTTCCTGTAAGTGGCTGCACTGGTACCAAAGCTTCTTCTCCTCCATCCCACTGTGAGGGGAGGAAAAGGGTGAGGTGCAGAAGCCCCAGGCAGGAGGACTCAGTGTAGATGGACACAATTGTGCTTTTATAAACCAAGGCAGGGAGAGGCTGAGAGACAAGCAACAATCACAGAGCAACCTGCTCTCCTGCCTCCCGAGTCAGACTTTCTGCTCAGCACCTCAGCAGGCCCAGGGAGAAGCAGGGTGGAGAGCTCCGGATATGGCTCCGGGCTGAATCAATAGCGACCTCTGCTCAAAGCCCTGCTGTGGTGCGTCCCCTCTCCAGGTATTAACGGTGCTGTCATTCTCCCGGTGATGGGGACAGATGATGCAAAATCGTCCTATCACCCAGGGGCACCCTGAGGGGACCCTGGAGCCGGGGTTGGGATGGAGCTTGACCGGCTGCCACCCTTGTGCTAGCAGCGCCACAGCCGGCAGGGGTAAGCAACGTCAGGTCAGCTCAAGGGAGGGACGATCAATCGTGTCAGAGCCAAGGAGGTGCTCAGAGCTGGGGCGACCGAGCCTACTTTACCCTGTTCCTCTGTGAGAACCTCGTTTTCCCCCACAAAGAGCCAGGGCAGGATAACACCATGCCGCATACTTGTGTTTCAGATGGTGCTAGGTGGAGTCTAGAAAGGATTTCAGAGACACTTAGAAGCCCAGAAAAATGGATTGAATTGTGGACTCCCCATAAACTGAAGATGGAGAACTTCAGAGACCGGCAAGGGCTCACTTTGTCCCCACACTTTCTATGCACTCTGAATCCAGGTCTGTGACATGCTCCGTGAGTCCCCGAGTAGCTGAACCACACTGAACAGCAGCACACAATCGCTGTGCTGTTCTGGAGGTCACATGTGCCTTCTCGTTGGGACGCACCTCAACCTAGAGTGGTAGGTGCTTTTACAGCCTTAGGAAACTGAGTCTCAGAGAGATTAGGGACTTGCCTGAGGTCACACAATGGGAAGGAAGGGGACCAATGTCAAAGGGAAAACTCATGCTGACCACAGTTGTTTCTTCCCGCCCACTGATACTTCGCAGAAGAGGAGCCCCCACATTGACCTTGTTCGTCCCACTGCACAATCCCTGCCACAAACCACTGCCCAGCCTGCTGCCCTGTCCTCCTCACCCACTCCTGTAAGGCCGAGAGCTGGAAATGTGGGGGCTGCCGTCCCAGAGAGCATCCCGAGCTGGGAGCCCAGGCAGCTGCACTTACTTTTAGCTACTTCCTTTCCCCGCTGATCCAGTACCAGGGGTGCAGTTTTCTGGCCGGTCCGTAATCCCTGCCTCTCTAGAAGCTGCCAGCAGGGCACCGGGCTCTGCTGCCAAAACTGAAACTGCACTCAGGGCCTGACCCACACCTGGGTCTTAAAGGGCCACTTTCCCATTGGGGTGGCGGCCAGCGGGGCACGTGACTCTCTTTCCTTTCAATTCAGCTCAACGGTCTGGCTCCATGTGCTTGCCCCTGACCTTGGGGGAAGCTCTGTGACTCGGGAACCCTCCATCACCACAGCTGCGGTGTGTGGGGCAGAGTCTGTAACAAGAAGATCCTGCTCTGTCACTTTCTAGCTGCAAGACCTCAGGCCAGTTGCCTTGATAATCCTTTCTGACTGGAAAATAGGAACAACCATACAAATCTACAGGTAGAGGACATAGATATTAAATTCTGTACAATGCCTGGCCTGAGGGATGGCATGAAGTTGACGCTTGTTTAATCATGCACCAGGGTCCAGCGAGCCTCTCCTAGTCCTCGGTACCACACCTCCAGCCACTGGAGAGAGCTCTCTGCCCCAGCTCCCTAGGATGCTCACCCCGGATCAAGGCACCCTCTGCTCACCTTCTGCAAGGCCTCGTTAGCAGCAGTCAGAGCTTCCAGGGGCTCGGGGGATCATGGTGCTTCCCCTGCACTCCGAGGCTGCTCCGGGATCCCCCAGGCTGGGCTCCCCATGGAGGCACTGGCTTGCTGCGTGGAAGGGCAGCTTCCTTCCCTACTGCGGTCCACCGACAGACACTTTCCCAGGGCAGGAGGTGTTTGGGTCTCCCCGAGTGACTGTGGCTGTCCCATGTCACACAAGCGGATCCCATTCCCCAAGTCCCAAGTGCACGCCCCCCGCCCCTCGCCCATTCCCACACACAGAAGTTCTACCCTGTCGTACCTGTGTGGGACTGGCCTGGCTCTCCCTGCAAGGTCCTGTGGGCTAAACCCCAGGCAGGGAAGCAGAAAAGGAGAAATAGGGTTGGAGGAGCACAGGGAAGTCAGAGGCCTGGGTCTTACTTTGCCTAACCACTCACACTCTAGTTCGCATTAACCCTGATCACAGATGGCAACGGCAGGGAAAAGAAACCATGTTTTCTACTGTGGAGCTTCATTTCAGACTTGAAACCCAAAGTAGTCACTTCCAAGGAAACTGGGTTCAACTCATCGATACCTGGGTCATTTCATTCCAGATTAAAAATTCAGTATTATTCTGGGTTTTCTTTTGATTTTGTCCTCTTTCTCACTTCGGGGTGGCCAGTGGTCGAGTTGGGTCAGGGAGAAGAGGGAGCGGCCGGCCGTTTCAGTCGTTGTCGTGGTGCTGTGCTGGCCTTATGCCTGGGGAGGAAATGGTTTCCTCGACTGAGATGTAACCTGACCCATCAGAGGGTCTTCATTGCTGTTCATCCCAAGAGCCTGTGTCCCCCTTATCATATCACTCAGACCCTTCGGTAGGACTTCAGAGCGCTCAGCACCCACTCGGCTGCTTGTACCTGGACTGCTGAGCGTCCCCCCAAACGCTTGCCTTCTGTGGCCGTATAACTGGGGGTGCAATGAGTATGGGCAGGACTGTAGGCCACCAGGTTCTGTGCGGGACAGGCAGGATGCTGCCCCCACTGGCTCTGGAATTCCCCAATCCCCCAGATAACTGCCGTTGTTAGTCTTCTCCTGGCTACTGCGGCCTGGGCTCAGCCCCATGGCGGAAGGTGGGAGGCCACAAAGCATCAGAAACTTAGCTCCCTTCCTCTTTAGCAATTTTCCTCCTCCCCCTTTCCAACGTGGATGCCTAGTGAGGGGCATAAGGGGAGGCCGAGCTGTGCGGAGATAGCAGGAGTGGAGCCTGCTTCTGCCAGGCATCAGCTCTTTCCAAAAGTCTCCTTACACTCTGCCCACCTGAATGCAGTAGTCGAGATATTGGCAGCACATGCATTCTCATTTGGCAGTGATCCACCTACCCCACAGGCCCACAGCCCACTGACCTCACAGTCCCGATCGGAGAAAGGGGAAAGTGAAAAGTAGAACGAGGGGAGGAGTCAGGGAGCCAAAATCCGTGACCTATTTGGGGCTTAGCCACACTCCGGTGCTGCGATCAGTGTCACCGGCTTCCCTCTCACACTGTGGTTTCCGCATTTGGAGCCCAGGGCCCCTGTGGCTGACCTTGGGCGGCAGGTGGCTGGGCATGAGGGTCCAGGTGCCCAGCTGCATGGCAATAACGGCAGTGGTTGTGTGTCCATCAGTTCAACTGCTCAAGACACCCCCCCTTTTAAAAGTAATGCTTTAAAAGATAAATAAATATATATATATATAAAACAAGAAGCTCGGCCTTCAGGGGAGAGAGTCAGAGACCCTGCTCTACAGCCAGCACGTCCTGGCTCTGCCTCTAACTTGCTGGATGACCACTGCCAAATCTCTTCTTCCTTTAGCTCTGCAGGCTTTGTGCCTGTTACAATGAAGACGCCAAGGCCAAACGGTCCCCACACCCCTTCCACCCTCCTCGGACTCTGGGTTTTGAGTGCTGTCCTGGACTGTGGTCGGTAGCTACAACCTTGGTGGCTTTACCCAACAGAAATACATTCTCTCTCAGTTCTGGGCGCCCGGGTGTCAGCAGAGCCACCCTCCCTAGAGGTGGTCTGGGGGGAATGTGCTCCTTTCCTTTCTGCTTCTAGCTTCCCGCTGCGGCTGGGTTTCCTCAGTGTGTAGCTGGGTCCTCTGGCCTTGGCCTCCAGGCCCACTTTGCCTCTGTGTGAGTCTCGACATCTTCCGGCCTCCTCTTATGAGAAATCTTATGACGGCATCCAGAGCCCACACAGATAACGAGGGTTATGTTCGCCTTTCAAGACTCTGAACGTAGTCATGTCTACAGTGGCTCTTCTCAAATAAGGTCCCATTTCGGGACATAGACACAGCTTGGGAGAAGAGGTTTTGTAAAAACCTACGGTAAGCATCTACCACAGCTGTGACCAGTCAAAAGTCCAGGGAGATTAGAGATGCAAGAGTCTGCGTCGTCATTCCCCAGGGACACAGGGCCCAGCTGAGGCATCGTCACCCACATACCGCACCGTCACGGACCGGCACTGACCGGAAGACAGCCATCCACGGGGAAAGGGCCCGGCTCTGCACCCAGGCAGCCCCCGGTTCACATCTGAGCCCCACCAACTGCTATCCGTGGGATTTTGGGCAAAGTATGTCCTGTCTGGGCCTAAGTGTGCTATCCACATAAGTGCGTTATGTACGTTATGAAGTTTAAGTACGGAGTACACAGTGGCTGGCAACTGAGAGGAGCTTATGGCTCAACATCACCGAGTGTCATGGCCCCGCTGAACGGTGAAGAGGACAGACGCGAAATGCCTTCCCTGGGTGTGCAGTGGGAAGATGGCGGAGAGAGAGGGCCTACGGCGATGGTCTTCTAGCAACGGGCATTTCCTCTGCTGCTCAAAGTCTTCTCTAGGGTTGAATCTTTTGGATTACACTGATACAGAGAGCAATATATTTATACCCTGGGGTGATCCAGGGGGAAGTGGAGAGAGTCCAGCTCGCACAGATCCAACCTTCAGGCTTTCATCGTCGCCTTGAGGCTCCACGATGCTGACCCAAGCCGCAGTGGAGAGTGGGAGCCTCAGGCCAGGCAGCTCTTCTCCACCCTCCGCGGCCCAGCTGCCACAGCTCAGGTGGACTCTTCTAGGGCCCAGTTGCTTTTGCGAAACCATCAAGATGCAAGCGAACAGATGCAATACTGTTGGCTGTCAGCTCTCCCCTTGCAGCAGCAGGTCTCCGGTGAGTCAGTGTTTAACCTTCGTCTGGAGTCAATGATTAATCCCAGGCCAGCCGGCCCTGTAATCCAGCATTCCCTTTCAAGTCTGAGATAATCATTTTTATATGAATTAGTGGAAAACAGAATTTGACAGTGACTCTGCCAAAGCCAAGTCCTTGCTTCTTTAGAATGGATATTGAATGTCTGGAATTATTCAAACCCCAGTCAGCCACCCACCCCGTCAGCAGATAATGCTGGGATTGGCAGGAACACAGCATCGATTCTTTTTGTTCCAGCTCTGCTCTTTGAGCTGGGGGAAGAGCACGGGATGGGGCCTGGTGCCCTCTCTGCTCAGCTGGCAGCTGTGTGCGGCTGGCGAACAACAGCCCGAGTGTGGCCATCGCCTGTGATCTCACAAGGGAGCCGGAACCGGGACTGTCCAGGTGGCCCGGCTTGGGCGAGTTTTCAAGGCTGACGTGAGGAGGCCTAAGCCTTTCTCCAGATGAATCTCCCTGGTGTGAGAGGGAGGAGAACTGATGATGAGAACTCGATTTCCCTGACTACCAGGACACTCCACAGGTGCTTGCCAGGCTCCTTCCTAAAGAGCTCAGGGCACGGTGTCTACAACCTGAGCCAGCACTGTGCCAATGAGGGAAAAGTCAGAGGGTGACAAGCTGGGGCAGGGGGAGAGGCTAGGGAGGCCAAAGGAAGAGATGGGGTCAGAGGGGGTGACTCGTTGGCCAAACTGGCCAATGTGAGCTTCCGATCTTACTCAGTCTTGAGTACCTGCTCCTCGTGTCTCTGCCCACACATTCAGGCCCCCACCTGTATGCCGAGCTTACTTAATCCGGGAGTGAAAGCCGCATTTCAGCTAGGCCCTGGGGTGCGGGGCTTGCTGGTACCCTTTGGCGCCAGCAGGAGCAGCACCGAAGGCAGAGATGGGGTAGAGATCTGAGGCCTGCCCTGAGGGAGAAGGGAGCCATAAAGCTGAACACTGAAGAAATGGGAATGGAAAGTTGGCTGAGGTCCAAAGGCTCTCTCAATTTCCACTTAGGATAATCACCAATCTGCAACTTCTAAAAAGCTTTTATTCTCTGATTCTGAGAGGCAGAGACAAACATTTTCTGAGGTTACTAAAATGCTCTCCTGCCCTTTCTTGCCTCCACACCCTGGTTGGAGAGGAGAGGAAAGAGGAAGACTTTGAAGCGTAGACATCCAAAGTCAACAGGTGAGTGCCAGGTGACAGGGCCCAGCCCCTCTCCTAAGCCACTGGGGTCCTTCTCAGGGCTTCTAACTGCTTCCTTGTTCCTGGTCTGGGCTTGGCCTTCAGCCCAAGGTGTGCCTGGCTGGAAAAACAGCCCGTTATCCCTGAACTCCCTCTGCCCATCCGAGCCTCACTGTGCCTTCGCTCCTGGCGATGTGCACTGTGACTAACCTCCAGCTGTATGGTACTGCTGGGGTGGGGAGCAGACAGCTGACAGGCGAGGGTTCTGGGAGCACGCCGCCCTCCCATGCCAGGCCCCAGTAAGCAGATTTCTTTGGTCCTCTTTTCCAGAATTCCTGTCCAAAGTGAAGTGCAACATTCAGACAAATTGCTGGGCAACTTGGAAAACCCCTGTGGACATGGCAGCCCTCCTCTGTCCCTCCTCAGATACTCAGCGTTGGGAGGCAGGAACTCAAAGCTCAGGAGAGAGGTGAACTTGGTGTCAACCTTGGTGCTCAGAGCAGAACTGGACCCAGGAGGCAAATAGGTGAGGAATGGGCAGGAGGCCAGAGGTGGGAAGAGGTGGACGCAAAGAGTCTGGATCCTGATCAGTGATTTGTCATTCACGAAAGGGGACTGGGAGACAAATGGTGGCCCAGTGGCCAGCAACCTGTGAGCCAGGCTGTGTCACTTAATGGACGGTGTGTGGTGAGGCTGGGCGTCCGTTTCCTGCTGTGTAGAGGCCTTGGTCTGCGCCCAGTCTCCCCCACCAGGAGGTCCACTCCTCCTGCCGAGACTCTTGGGCCTCTCAGAGCAGGCACCTTCCTCTTGTGTCTGACTGCGGCGGCTAGGAAACAGTTTCTCTGCCCTCAGACTACACTGGATTGCAGAGAAGGGACCCCTGGGTGCCAGTGGAGAGCAGGAGGAGTTGCCAAGTAAAGCCAAGTGCCTGCTCTGAGTGACCAAGATAGACAGAAACCCTTCAGGGTCTCTAAGGTCTGAGCCCCAAAAGCCAGCAACAGCCTCCCAGCTGGTGTCTGAGATTTTAGCTCTCAGCCTGGCTCCCCAGTTACTTTTCTTCAATTTGACACTTCACTGAGCCGGGACAGGAATAAGCTAATTAGTGACTAGAGATCACAAATTACTGGAAATGATTATGTAACCTTTCATACACACACCAAAAAGACAGAAGAAGCAAACCTGTAGGACTCTTAGTGGGAATAGAACCAAACAAAGAAGGAGGCATGTGGCACAGAGACCAAGGGCAGGCTGAACCACCCTGAATTCAGCTTGCCCTTTCCCTGGTGCTTGATTTCTCTGAACCTCAGCTTTCTTGGTTGTACAGTGGGAATGACCACCGCCACCTTTCAGAAATATTGCATCGAATGCCCCACAGGATGTGCCATGTAGACCCACACGGTCAACAGCAGCTGCGCTGGCAGAAGGGGCGCTGAGCCCTCACCTGGGAAGCTGCTTGGCCCCGTGGAGAGCAGTGGCTTTTCCACATCCTGCATTAGGAACCAGAGGCTCCTCTGATTCTAGCCCGTGGCAAGTGTTTCCTTGTCCCTTATCTCCCTGGTACGGGCACTTTGCTAGCTGGGAAATAAGGTGAAATTTATAAAGGAATCTCTGTTGCTACGGAGCAGTGGAGTTGATCTGCTCTGCTCTTTCACCCTGGCCCTTTAAGCAAAGCTGCTGCCCCAGCCCCGGCATCAGTTGGCCCATAAAGGAGGGCTGTAAACAGTGGGGCTGTCCCTGCTTGCTTTCTTCCTTGCACCTCCACACCTTATCTCTGCCTCCCTCTAAGCTCCTGGACCTTTCTCTGACCTTGTCCTGGCCCCTCCCACTGCCACATGGTAGCTTTCTCTAAAACATCCTTACTTCTGAGCATTCTCCTGGCTGTGCCTAGCTGACCCCTCCTTCCCCACCACCTTCTGCCAAAATGGGGCAGCCAGGCAGGTTCTAGCTGTTCTGTGCTGGACAGAAAGTTTCAGAGCAATTCAGATGAAGGAGCAGCCCCAGAGAGGGCAGCCAGCTCTTGACCAGAAGGAGAGCCTGATCCCCAGACCAGACAGGGCAGGGAGTCTTATGGTCTCTGAAGGTCTCATGAATTAGGGCAGGGGTTGGCCAATCCTGGCTCAAGGGGAAATGCTGGGCTCTTCCTATTCTACAAACAGGCTCTGCTGGATCACAGCCACAGCCGTGGGTGTGTGAGCTGCTTTTGTGCTGCACAGGCAGAAATGAGGGGCTCCCACAGGGATAGCAAGGCCTGCAAAGCCCGAAACATTGACACCCTGGTCGGTTACAGGCTGATCCCTGGTTCAGGGCTTCCTGGTTCAGGGCTTCCCTAAGGGGTGATCTGAGGGATTCCAGCAGAGAGGCCTGCTTCAGGAAGCGTGTTAGTCTCCCCAACAGGCCTGGGAAGTACGCACAACACTCCCACCCTCAGGCATTCATGATGTTCCTTCAGAGGCTGAAGGCTCTGAGAAGTCCTGCATAGCTTAATGTGTTTGCTCTGTGACTGAGAATTCCCCAAACCCATTTGATCTATCAAAGCTGCTTTTCCCATGATCACCTCTTAACTTCCTGAGAGGGTGGTGATCCGGGCACGCCCTGGTAAACACGGGCTGGGTGGAGCTAACGGCCCGAGCTCTTGGCTAACCCCAGCCAATTAGCTAAGTGGCCTTGGCTGAATTGCAGGCCCGCCAGGGCCTGCTCACCTTCCTGTTTGCAGCGGGTAACGAAGTCTAGGCAAGTCCTCGAGGTAGTTTACTGGGCCTGAAAGAGTCTGGAGAGTGACTGTGGCGTTGTGGGTATGGTGATTAGATTTGCTCTGCCATACTGCTTAGCAGGGGTGAACTGGAAATGCACCAGACCAAGGTGACGAGTTCTCTTTTCTAGTCCTCCCTGTGCTGTCAAGAGCTGGGTCAATCAATGACTTTAGTTGGGGGAGCGCTGCGCTGTAGATCACAGGCCTAACTCGCCTCCCCCCTCGGATGAGGCAGGGTCCTCTGGGAGGAGAACAGGTGACAGGAGGGTAAGGCAGAGCAAGGCCTGGCCAAAGAGGACATTCCCTACATAACAATGGAGCTCGTGGCCTTAGCCGCTCTCCTGGCTCAGGTTACAGACCAGCCGCTTTCACCTCCCCCTGTGCTTCCCTGATCTCCACCGCTACATGCAAATGCGCTGCAGTTGCCTGGGGTCTTTTCCTCCCATCAGGAGTTAGCGCCCCTCCTGGCCCCAGCTCTGTGTTCTTTTGTATCTTTGTCTTTGTTCTTAATGCCCCAACTCCAGGATTCTTACTCAGTGGACCCTCCAGCCAAGTAGGCCAGGTCAGAGTCCCTCATTTCTACCTCAGGGCTTTAGACTAATTAGTCTCTAAGGTCTCTGGGCTCTGAAATGCTAGGATCCTTTTGGCTAGGCCCGTGGCTTCCCACTGTATCCCAAACAACAGGCGTCTCTCACACACGGTGGAGACCGCACCCCTGGTGTTCTTGGAGTAGCTTCTGCATTTAGAACCAGAAATAATGAACTGTTACTGAAAGATTTCAGATGCTGCTGACAATTCAGAGTGAGTGCTGGGCCTTCTAGAAATGCTCTCCTGACAGTTCCTAACTCAGCATTGCAAACTTCTGTTCCCTTCTGCTTCTATTGCTCTAAGACTCCTCTGTCCAAATGCCGAGTGCAGACAGCGTGCTAACACATCTGGCAAGGGAAAAGAACAGATGTGATTCTGGAAAACACAGTGAGGTCAAGCATTGAGAGAGAGTTCACTGGCAGACGTGAGGTAATGTGATTATAAGGCGAAATCCAAATAAAGATCCTCTCCTTTGACTCCTCAGCTCCACCCCCAAACCACTTTCTAGCTTTGTCATTAGTCCTTGATATCAAGGATTCATAAGAAATTGAACAAGAGGACTGTTATAAAGAAGGTGAAAATCTACTAAAAAATACCCATGAGATTAGGAAAATCCCAGAAAGTCTTGACTGGGTCACAGGTCTGCAGCATAAACCAGGATGAGTCCAAATGGGGCGGGATGATCTGAGCGGTGGATGTCTCCCCTTTAGTCTCAGTCCAGGGAGCCCCTCCGAAAGGATACTCTTAGGGGACTCCCAGGAGGGCAGAGGCCAGGGGCTCTCAGAGCACTTGGCTAGCCAGCTCCGTCCCTAGAGGGCACCATGCCAGTGTCTCTCCAGCCGGCGAATCAGTCCTGAATGCTTATTGGGGTCCCACTGAATGGAACAATTCTCTGGATGCAAATAGTTTGCATTCTAACATAGCCCACTGAACAGATAACCTGACGGAAAGCAGGAACCCACATCCAGGACCGTCATCCACCTGGAGAATACCTGAAGATGACTAAACACTCCCAAACCCAGGCCATCATGCGCCTCTCTCTTGGAGACCCGTGCTTCACTTTCCCTGCCTGTGTACTTTATCTCTCCAGTAAGTCTCTGTCTCTCACTGATGTATCCAGTGATTCTTTTCTGTGGCCTAAGCAAAGAACCCACGACCCATCCCATGGGCCAGCGACTCAAGGCGACCAGCTCCTTTTTGAGGGACCTCTTTGAACCCTCTTTAGTGACTTCTGGACACAATGAGATGGATAAAGCAATGCGTGTGCTAAAGGAGCATGGACTTTACTTGAGCTGACGCGACGGGTGCACTGGTGTGGACTGAGACGTGAGCAGCAGGCGGAGCTCTGACAGAGATCAGAAGAGGGGGCACCCAGAGAGAGCCGGGGGTGACGACAGAGCGCTTGTCATTTTCCACACTGACTGGCAAGTCTTGTCTTTTCAGAATCCAGGAATGGAAATCCCACTTTTCCCAGGTGGTCTCTTCCAGTGTTCAGCAATTGAGCCATCCTGTCGCCCCGGCCGTGAGGTCAAGATGGCAGCATCTGCTTCTCCAGGTGGGGCTCCAACGCCATTAGCTTCTCTCCAGGTGGGTGGAGGGAGGACAGTGACAAGAGGCTGGAGTCAGGGAGGTATCGGGCCCTCCTCCTTCCACCACGACCCAGCCCTTTACCTTCCCTTGCTCAGGGTCCTGGGTCCCTCTCCAGGACAGGCAGGCTGGCTTGGGGAGGAGGAGGAGGAAGAGGGTCACCCTGCAGCTTCTTCACGTTGGGCAGCTGGTCTGGTTGGAGGTTCAGCTCCAGCACACGTGTCATCTGGATCAGGGTGACTCTCGGTGTCCTTTCTGCCTCCCGAGCTGCAGAGACACAAGGACAGCCGTGAAGCTTCTGGGACAGACAGCGCTGGGCCTGGTTCCCTGAGAACACCTCTGCCCGATGCCAGTTTCTGAGAACTTCTCAACAGAAGGGTGAGCTTTGGAGACACAGTGTTAGGGCCAAGCCTTGGGGGTCTAGCTCTGAAAACCTCAGCCTCTCCTTCCTGCTCACCCTTTCTTCTCCAGGTCTATACCCCCGGCAACACTCGCTTCAGGAGTATTTACACCCAGCACAGTGCTGACAGAGGACATCAGTAGGCCATGTCAAAGGGTGCACAAGGCAGATTTCTGCCCGGGGCTGGGCCCTGCCCTCCTGCCTCTGCCACTGAGGTTTCTTAAGCATCTCATCCCTGTGCCTAACACAGATCCTGCCAGTCTCCAGAGAGCTTCTCCTTCAGCTCTGCGCTGCTACCTAGACAAATACAGAAACAGCCAAGGTCAAATGTGGTCAAATGCCCCAGTCTAGAATTTAGCTCTGTGGTAGGCAGAAGTCCTAGCACTGACTCGAACCTGACCCAGCCCCACCAGTGCCAGGTAGGACACAGCCACCCTTCCCCAGGCTTGGAGCTATGTAGACTCACGCACAGCTCCTCCTTCTCCAGAGTCGCCTTTGCCATAGGACCAGAGCCACAAGCAGAAATGGGGCCAGCATGACGAAGACTGGAGTCAGGGTCCACGAGCCACTCTCGCCTTCTGGAAAAGCACTGGAAGGAGCCAGGGCCGGATGGAAGGACACAGGAGAGGGAGGTTGGAGCTGGAGAGACTGAAGACTGTTGCCCACAGCCCTCCTTTGTTTTACAGGTGGAGGAGCTGTGGCAGGTTGGCCACCCTCAGTCCACGGCTCTTAGTAGCCGAGCTGGGACTAGAAATGCCGTCTTCCAGTTCTCCAGCCCCAACCCTCTGTCCCCCTTTCCCTTCCCGAGTGTGGGCTACGCTGTGCACCACAGCAAGAAAGAGAACAGTGCAGGTGAGGGACTCTGCCTTGGCATTGAAAAATGGCACTACCATTTTTCCTTGTGCTTTCAATGCTGCTCTCTGGAGCCTCTGCTCTTTATCTTACTAGAAAGAGGTCTGGAATGCTCCAGCCTGAACACTTGGTAATTCTCTCCTTTAGACTGTGCTGGCAAGCTGCACGGGAATGGGAAGGGTGGACAGCAGAGGGTGTCCTCAGGCACAAAGGGCCAGAACTGAGCAGAGGGAATGGGGCAGAGCCAGGGCTCCAGCCCAGAGTGAGGGCCTGGGGCTCACCTCTTCCTGGAGGACTCCTCAGGGCGCCTCCGGGGCCCTGCTGCTGGGCCCTGACTTGGTGTTGCTTGGAAACCCTGGTCTCCAGCAGCGCTGCTCGGATCCCCCCCGGGGCTTCCTTCCACAGATGCTGGCTCTCTGCGGGTGGTGTCCAAGGTCCATGGACTTGCAGCCCCGCTTGCTCCATCAGTGGAGACCAGTGCTTGTTGCTTAGGAACCACAGCTGCTTCTGGTAGAGTTTCCCAGGCCTGGGCTGATGGCGAGATGGTTCCTGTGGTCTTCCTGGCTGCATCCCCAGCTATTTCAGTCCTTTCTGTTTGCTCCCCGGGCTTCCCGGTCCCAGTAGCTTTTCCACCCTCCCTGAGCCCAGCCCCCTCTGTGACCAAGCGCCAGGTGCCCCATCCCCAAACATCCTCTGTGGTACTGGACAGGCCTCCGAGTTTTGAGACTGGACTTTGCGGGACAGGGACAGTTGCCTGAATGGAACTTTCTGCACCACTGTCCGCCCCCCGAGCTACCGCCCTGACGGTCCCCGGGGTCTGTCTTCTCTGAGCTGAAGCTGTGGTTTTCCTGGTCTCTGTAGTTGGAACAGCTCTGTCCCACTTCGTCCCCTGTCCGTCTAGAGTCCGGGTGGCTCCCGAAGTCCATCTGTTGGCTGCTAGTGATGCTGCCCCAAAGGGTTCTGTGAGAAACTCGCCAGCAGCTGGAGGGGCTGTGGGGATGGCCCTGGAGGAACCTGTGTGAATTCCGAGGAGAGCAGAAGGAGAGGCTATCCAGCTTGCCAGTGGACTTAGCAAAGGGCTAAAGGGTTTAAAATACTCGCCAAATAGGCTGTACCTTCACTAAGAGGTGCAATGTTGCGCCAGTGTGTTGGGATACAACAGAAAGGTGAGCATCCTGGGTATATCCTCTCATCTGATGCAAATATTGGCATCTTATGCTGCTATTGCCTTCTCCCAGGCCCACATATTCTCCATCCCCACTGCCCCAGATCCCCATGCGTCTGCTTTCTCCAGAGGCCTCAGCCTACTGGGTTCTGCTCTCAAGAAAAAGGAAAAGGAGCACTGCAGTTCCTAAAGAGCAGCCAGGAGCAGCAGGCAGGGGCGGAAGCATCCAATGAAACCCATCCGCACTCCTAGCTGGCAGTGCTGATGGGCTCTGACTTCTGCAGAGCAGCTCTCACAGCCTGGAGGCCCTGCTTGCACTCTGGATCCCTCTTCTGGACCAACCCTCCAGAACCTGTCCCCAGGGCCTGGACCCGGAGGCTGCCTGATGTCTGCGGGGGCACTGAGAAGGGTCAGTCAGGGAAGAGTTGTCCCAGCTCTTTCCTGTCTATCAGGCTGCTCTGCAGTGCTAGCCCAGATCTGTATCTCCCAATACGTTGCTCTCAGGACCCTAAGGTACCATAGTATCCAATTTGCTACCTTCTTGGAACAATGTCCAAATACATATTCCACAACACCCAGGGTGTGGCCTTTGGGGTGGAGTGTCGACTTGACTGGCTTTGGGATCTTCCCGGGATCAGTGGAGCTCACATCTGGGCGTGTCCAGGAGGACCATGGAGGTGTGACCCTGGAGTCTGAGTCCGATGCCTGACCCCTTCCTGTGTGGCACTGTTTCCCTGCCCTGCTCCCCAGCCTCCATGAGCTGAGCATCTTTGCCCTGCTGTTCCCTTCTGCCAAGATGTTTCTGCCTTGAGGCTGGCTTACCACAGACTGAATCCTCAGGAACCATGAGCCAAATCAAACCTCTTCTCCTTCCCGCTGTGAGTGTTAAGTAGTGTGCTCCAGTGACAGGAAGCTGACTGATACACTGGTGTTGGGAGGGCTGGGCGGGACAGTCTGTGTGCACTCCCTGGTTTTTCCTAATATCTCCCTTCATTCTGGAAATAGCCTCCCGTGAGGAAAGGCTGCTTCTCAGAGCCTTCATCCTGGCCCAGCCTTTTCAGCTCACTTCTCCAAGGCCTAAAGCTGTCCTGGCCCTCTAAACTTTCTCTCGCCCCCCTGCTTCAGGGGCCATGGGCACTCACCTGCCGAGACAGTCAGACTCACACTGAAGAACAACGCGTTGTTGCTGTTCCCAATGCCGCAGCGGTAGTGTCCCTCGTCACGCGTGGACAGCTGGGACAGCCTCACCACAAACACGCTGCTCTGGGGGAAGTCTGCTAGAGCCGCACGGCCACGGTAGCCGGGGTGGGTGTAGTGGTTGGTGGACACGACGGTGTGGCAGGTCCCTGTCGGAGGCCCCAGGCGGCACCAGTATTTCCTCTGGTGCCTGTTGATGGACAGGGGTGTGTAATGGCACCGGATGGTGACAGCTCCTCCGAGCTCCCCAGACACCAGCCTCGGGCCCTTCAGTGCGTTTGCGGCTGCAGATGGAGAGAACAGCTGAAGGCGAGGGAGTGGTGGGTGTCCTCACTGTGGGGGACTGACCGGACCAGCTCTGCCAGCCCGAAGGGTCCGGTCAGAGACGCCACTGTGAAAGTGGGGCAGAATTAACATGGAAACAGCAGAGCTGAGCCTGGATAAAGCAGGAGTTGCCCCGGATACGGGGTAGAGTGGGATCCGAGGCTCCGTCTTTGACGTGAAAACGCGGTGAGGATCTTGCACACTATTTTCCCCCTAGCACGGGGATTGAACCCAAGGCCCTGCATCGGGAGCGCTGGGCCACTCCGACCCTCCTCCACTTCTCTGAAGCCTGATTTTGACTTGGGTCTTCCTAAGTTGGCCTCAAACCCATGATCCTCTAGCCTCAGCTTCTCAATCAGCTGGGATTTCTGATGTGTGCCACCACCCTTGGTCCTTACACACTGTTTTGCTAATACTTATCATGGGCTAGGTTTTCTCAGCAAATCCACACAGATGGTGGGTTCATCCCACTGTGCGTCAGTGCAGACGCCGTCTCAGCTCCCATGAGAGGGTGGAAGCAGCCTCTGGCTTGCTTGCCATTTCAGAGACAGGTGCTGGACGCTGTGAACATGTCAGTGCGCTTTTCCTCAGCACCGCAGGGATCCCGCTCCGCCTGCTGGGTATATAGGTCCCCAACCCTTCACACTGACCACTTTTCCGGAGAAACAGAAACAGCCAACATAGATGAGCACCTGCTTTGGCCAGAGCCCCAAGGACGACTCACGCTTTGACCAGAGTGTAGTCAGCTTACGGAATGACTCGAGTCTGACCGAGTGCAAACAGAGAGAAGTTCGTTCCTTCTCCCACCGCCTCTTCAGAACTTTCCCTGTTTCCCGGGGAAATCACAGGTATAATCTCATGTCTGGTAGCTTTTATTGTCTGGTTCAGATAATAAAGAGCCCAGTCTGGTGTAAAATTATACACCTGGCTCAGTCAGAAGAAAGAGTGCAATGCACTCCAGGCACTTAGCCAGCTGGGGCCTTTTTCCTTTTGGGGTCCTAGGCTCTACTTTCCCCTTCCTCTACTCCAAGCTGCATTTGGGGGCCCTTCCAGGGCCATGCACAGGGAAGAGCGGGGAGACAGACAGATAGTTAAAATCTGCCCCTGGTGCTTTCTGGGCATGTCCAAAGTGTCCTCTGTTTTGTTCCCCACAGGCCTTTGTGTGGCTCCTGGCTGCAGTCCCTTCCCTAGGAGATGAGCTCTGTCCTGCTGCCTGTCAGGCTACCAGCACCCGGCCTGTGGCTTCCACCCAGCTGGCTCTCTGTTATTGGTCACAATCCCCTCTGGGTGCCCGTGAGGTGGAGGCCCCCCCATGTGGCCACAGGTTCCATGCCTTTATCCTGCTATTAGAAGAAACCCGGGACATATGACAAACTTGGGTGGCTCTCCAGAAGTCCCTTCTCTTATGTGACCACAGCGAGCTTTTCCCCGAAGAGTCTCATGAGGGCTCTCTGCCGCCAAGGGGTCGCATTTAATGGCCCAAGTGCCTTCATGGTGGGCCAGTGCTGGGACTGGCTCTACAGTCTCAGTGTGCAGTCCTACAAATCTGTTCCCCATCTTGCTTTAGGATGTGGTGCCTCATGATTGGTTCTAGGTCCTTAGGCTCCCCGAACCCAAGAAAGTTCTGTTTAAGTCTGACTGTTAAGTAAGCCATGAGTCTCGCTATCAGATCTGCAAATGACAAGTACAAGTGAAAATGGGGGGCCCCTTGTTCGAAACTTCTTAAGAAATTTATGTGGCCACACTGGAGGATGAGCCAAGCACCACTGGAGAAGAGCCTCATGCGATCTGTGCGTTATGTGTGTCCTGAGGTCTAATAGCAGGAAAATTAAGGTCACATATGCTGTGGTTGTATGAATACTCACTCTAGGTTTAATTAAACAACATACCCCAATCCATGCAACCAATAATCAAGCTGAATGGTAATTTATCAATAAAGAATAAGAACATTTACTATCACAAGTGGGCCATCTGAAGGAAGCCATGGTGATGCTCCAATGAAATGTTTATAGCCCAGATTTTAGGAGTTCTCATGCCCTACTTACATCACCTTTGAGAAGAGTACACTTTCACTAATCCCCAGCACAAGGCAGTCTGACCTCGTGATAGAAAGATGACTAAGAATTCTTCTTGCACTGCATATAGTTTCTATTAACATCAAAGCTCACCAATACTTCTAAAACATGTTTGATAAGTCACCAATCGGTAGCTCCTCATGTTGTGCAGTCATTCAGGTTTTTAGGATTTTCACATTAGTTGCTTGTGAGAATTACAGAACAGGCTAGGATTTTAGGAGCAATATGGTAGTAAGAGGGGACCCTGAGGCCAGTTCTCCACCCCTCAATTAGGGGGTGCCCCTGGCTCTCACCAGTCGGTGGCTAGGTCACTGTGACTCCAGGAGCTGGAGGGAGGCTATGGGCAGCTTGGTTTGAGAAGGAGGTCTCAGGGCAGGGCTTGTACCTGTGAAGGAGCTGGGCTTCTGCCAGCAGAGGGCTGAGGAGGACAGGAGGGCTTCTGTGGCAGACAGGCGGGTCCCAGAGGGAGGAGGGCCAGCCTGTAGCTGTCGGAGATGGGGTCCTCTGCGTGGAGGGGCCAAAGAAGAGCTGGGCACAGGGAGGACTGGGCCTTCAGGGGCCTCCGATGTCCACAAAGGCAACCACCCGCACTCCCTCTCCTCCCACTGAGCTGCTGGAGCTCTGGGAGTGACAGAGGGAGCAGCAGAGGAGAAGGACACAGCCTTGCCAGCCTGGGGGACTGAGGGGACTCCGGGGTATATCTCTGAATGAAGATCTGCATCTGACCAAAACACTTCACTGAGTGCATAAAATGACTGCACTTAGAACTCTGAGGCTTAACTCAACTCCCTTGGATCCCTATATCAGCAGGAAAAGCATGGGCCTGCCTGACTGGGGGCAGGGAAGCCTATTTTTACCGAAAAATTTTAAAGGGGGAAATGAGAGACTGAAATATAAAGATGCTGTGATTATATCAAGTAAGAGCGCTTGCTGAAGTAGTAGGCACTTCTGACTCATTAAGACTGATATGTTGACCCTTTTGGCCTTGATTCAGTATTTCCGCCCATTCATTACTTCACGATTACTAGGCATCTGTTTGGGACTAGCCAATGAATGCTCTAGACACATACTCTATATTCCTCAATGGCTCCCCACGGCCATCAGAATGAAAGCCAGCTGGCACCGCATGGAGACAGGGTCGCGTCACGTGGGTCCATCTACAAGGACCTGTGGGGCAGGGATCCTGTCTGTCATTGACCTGTCTCCTGTGCCTGGCAGGGAGTCAGCGCTTCACACACGCACATTAAATAGATCAAAAAAATGAATAAAAATAATTTTCCTTTGCCCACAGAGCTTCTTTATAGATGGAACGCCTAAGGCCTTCCACGGAAGTGTTTGTAGCACGAGTGAACTGAAGCTTTGCCGCTTCTGATCTTTACGTATCCCCCGCCTCTCTGCCTGGAGCCAGTGCGTGCACTTGGGGGGCCACTGACCACTCTGCCTTCTCCCTGCCTCCACCGAGAGGAAGCCGTGGCAGTGTGGACCTCCGCGGCGGGGAAGAGCCATCCGGCTCCGTGGGCGCTGATCTGCGCCGCCGCTGGGGCTCACCTTGCAGCAGACACAGTAAGAGGAGGAGGAGAACGAAGGGTATTCTCCACTCTGCCCCCGGCCTGGCGACCTGCAAGAGACACTGTCGATGGAACCAGGGGCTCGAGGCGAGGAAGAGGAGCTGGCGGGGCAGCGGGAGCCCCGGGCCGAGCATCTCCGCACTTCAGGTTGGAGGAATCTGAGCGCCTTTCGGGGAGAGGGGCCCCCGTCCTCACACGGTGTGGCCCGGGCCAAAGTGCCCTCCCCTGGGGCCTCTGTGTTCAGAAGAGACAAAGCTCCCTCGGTGGGATTCCCAGCTCGGCCTCCACTCGCCAGCTAGTCGGGAGCTCGGGCCCTTGCTGGAGCCACGGGGTCTTGGACAGAGCAGTCCCAGGATCCCATCCCTCCCGGGTAGTGAGACTCCCTCAGTGTGGGGTTACTGTCTAACAAGCCAAGTCCAGGAGAGGCTGGGTGGTGGGGCCTGAGCGACCTCCCTCCCCTCCTTGCCCCTTCCTCCCTGTTCCTCCACTTCAGGGGAGCTTTCTGTTCCACTGTTAGGTGCCCCTGTCCGAAAGGAGTCAAAATGAAACCTCTGGCCGAGTAGCTGCATGTCCAGCTCTCTTCTGTTTGTCTCCAAAGCCTCCAGAGTGTTCTCCCTGCCCACCTGATATCCCTCCCAGTCCACACTGATTTCTCCTGTCCTGGTCTCATCCCCTGGCCGGGAGCTCCTTGGGGACAGGGACCTCTTGAAGCCGGACCAGCACATGTGAGCCCAGCACGTTTTCCGTGCACAACCCAAGGTTCGATGCTCCACGGCCTTTTGCTGTGTGCAGATTAAAAAGAGATTGATGCCCTTTCCTGTGCCCTGCGAAGGCTGACACAGTGCCTGCAGGGTAAAGGAAGCCTCTGTAAAACCCAGAGAAGACACTGTGAAACTCCTCTTTGAATCCTGTCTGGAGTCACGGCTCTAAAAAAAACAGAAAAAGATTGCACATTGTAGTTTCCCTGTGTTCTCCATGGGGTGTGCATTAATTGACTAAAAATCTGTTCTTTGAATCTGTCTACTTCCTGCTGCGATTTGTGAAACCTGTAGCTGGCCATTGTTTTTTCTTTCCTGCGGTAATACATGATTCACTGATGCTGAGAAGGGGCGCATGCACTGTCCCGTGAAGCACCACCCCTGGATGTGCGTACGAAGGGAGGGTGGGTTACAGGCACTGTGGGCTTTGTTCAGCCAGAACAGAATCGTGTCATCCGCAGGAAAATGGATGCAACTGAAGACTGCCGTGTTAACTGGAATCAGCCAAACTCAGAAAGACGGACATCACCTAATTTTCCTAATATGTAGAATCCGGGAGGAAAAATAACATGCACGTAAAAGGGAGATCGGGGCAAGGGTATAAATGAGAGCAGTGGGGAGAGGATGGACAAGATCTAAAGTACGTCATACGCATGGATGAAACCCAGCTGCTGTAAATCAGCACATGGAAAAGAACAGGTGCGCACAGGGCCATGGTCTGGCCACCGGCAGGAGCCCCCTCCCCTCAGACAGACTGAGCCACGCGGTTCCATGGGCCACTCTGGGATGAGCACCGTGCCTGTGTGAACCAAGAGGAGGAGAAAGGGGAGCGGGGGAGAAACAGGCAGAGGACACAGAGCCAGGGGAGGAGAGAGGAGCGGACAGGAGAAGAGGGGAGGGCACTCGAGTGAGCGCTGGCCCGCCTGGCCCTTGGTACCAGGCCGGCTGTCCGACTAAGGTCCCGGAGTGGTCAGATCTGCACAGGGCACCGGCTCCACACCTCCTGCCCCCCCACCAGCAGATCCTCTCTTGGGCACTGCCATGGCAGTCCCGGCCCCTCCCTGGAAGCTGTCCTCCCCAGGGGCTCTGCGGGGCAGGCCAGCCCCATCCCTACTTGGGTCAATATTCAGCAAGTCCGGTGACCTCTGGGGCTGGCACCCTCTCCCACCCTCGCCAACTTTCCTAAGTTGCCAAGTCCTAATGCAGCCCAGATTGGGGCCAAAGTCTGCACACTGCCACCTTGTTCCTTGTTCTCCGAAGCCTGATGGTGCAGCAATATCTCTGCTCAGGAGCAAAAGCCACCTCCACAGGGCAATGAGGAAGCACAGGCAGCAAGATAAAGGGCTCCAGAAAGCTATCAGCCTTGACTGGGGGACTGGAAGGGTATCTATCACTCAGCCAGATGTCTCCGAGTTACTCTCCCTGCCAATGACCTTTAGAAATCCTTTCTTTGGGAGACGGGAGGTGCCAATACCACAGCCTGGGCCGCAGCCTCGGTCAGCGCCCACTGGGTTTCAGGGGACTGGCCCCATGGGTGCTCCCTTGCCTCCCAAGCCCTTCCTCTCCAGCACAGGCTGAGTGACTCCCCGATCCCTTGAGCCCTCTGAGCGCCCCTCTGTGCTATCTCGGGAAGCAGACAAGGAGGGAAGGCGCGAGGGTGAGGCAGAGGGAAGAGCACAGAACCAGACTCGAGAGCCTTTGCTCTGCTTGGGGCTGATGCAGTGACCTGGACCACTGTCCACTCCTTTCCTCGGTGGAGGAAGAGCTTTGCCTAAATGCTCTGCACGCTTCCTCTCTTTCAAATGAGTGCCGGCTCTTTTCAGCTGGGCTTTCAAAGGAAACACTCATTCTGTTGGGGCCGAGCAGAGGAGGAGCGGGGAGACCTGTGGCCTGAGCTCCAGGGTGCTCAACTGGCCTCCCACCTTGCTTGAGGGGATCCGAGGCCCACATGACGGCTGCTGCAGCACTTACCCTGCCCCTGCATTCAGAGCCAGCCCCTACCTCCAGGAGAAGCCGCAACTCACCCTGCATTCTCCGGGCTTCCACGGGGCTCCTCCGTCCATCTCTGTCCAGAAGCAAGGTTCCTTGGGCTCCTCTCCAGGAGAGGCTGCTGCAGCGATGTCCTCTGGTCACTCTCTGTGACCCTGGAGAAGCAGGGTGGTGTGCTGGATGGCAGCACTAGAAGATTGGGGGAGAGGGCAGCGCTGCCCCTCACCACCCTGCCACTCACGCGGGCCCTCTCCCCGGGCCTTGGTACTTGGAAGAGGAAGCCGTCCTGGTTCCCTCTCATCTGCACTGTCTCCTGTCTCAGCAGAGCTTTTAATAGGTGGTAACAGTGGTGTTTTCCAGCTCAGGGTTCCTGGCTTTTCAGGATGCCCAGCCCAGCCAGACCCCTCAGGGGTCTCCGGAGCAAGTGACACAGCCATCTGGGCAGGAGGGAAGGGAAGCTCCCAGGATTCGGGGGAGGAATTCCCCTGCTATCTGCCTGGCAGTTGCTGTCCTCTGGCTGACCCAGCCCCTCCAGCAACCCTGAAGAAGCAGCTTGGGCCTTTGGGTCCCTGACTCCATGGCTTGGTGGTTGCGAATTCACGCCACAGACAAGGACAATTCAATAGGTGACGGTCTTCGTGGAAAGAGAACGGGCCAAGTGCGGCTGACCCAGGGGATGACACACTGAAAAATACCCTGTGGGACGGCTTATGGGGCTTCTTTTCCTTTGAAGGATGTCATCTGCTGGCCTTGAGCCAACAACTAAGGAATGGGGTTGCCGGACAACGAAGTTAAGCACCATGGTGGGGCACGTGTGGCCTCATGGGATGACTGAAAAGGGCCCTTGCTCCTTAAGAGTGGGGTCCAGAGTTCATGATCATGTCCCCCACGGCTGGGTGGGAGGACGGGCAGGGGTGGCAGGACCCGCCGCTGAAGCAGGGGGAGGAGGACAGAGCCCCGAGGGATGCTGGGAGTCGGCTGGGATGGGGCGGAATTGTGCCCTGGAGACCGTGCCCGGCTCTGTGTGCTACCATCCGAGACCAAGCACCTCCAGGGCTGGAGCTCCTGACCTTCACAGCTTCGCATACGTGAGAGAGAGTCACCCCTCAGTGAGGCGCGCCTGCGCAGTGCACAGCCTGAAGAACTGTGCAGAGCGGCCCACCCAGAGCGGAGCGATCTTCACTCAGGTGTGGGGAGCGGCCAGTGCCTGACCCGATCTTCCCCTTCCAGCTTCACGGCGGCAGCCTCCCATCACGCTGGAGCCTCCTACCCCCGGACTGATAGGGAAGAGAGACATGGATCCAGTTATTTATTCTTTTCAAACCTTGTTTTCCTAATATGTTAACCAGCAAACTGTACCTTCTTCCTAAAGACATTGTGTAGATAACGGACATTCCTCTGTGACTCCAAGGGCCTAGTATGTAGTGAATAACATTAGCTGATAACATTAGTAGCTTAGTTTATAGCGAGCAGAAGATCAAACCTTCAGAAACAATCCCTCCGAGGTTTTCCTCGTTGAGGGGTCTGCATTGATTCACCGACCTACCTTCCTCCTTCCTTCTCTTCCTTCTCTTTCTCCTTACTTTCTTTCCTTCTCTCTCTATCGCTTTGGCATTTGAAAGATTTAAAAATAAATCAATTTGTCTAAGAACACTTCTGGATTAAATTTATATTTTAAAGTAAATGTTTATCGCCGGGCGTGGTGGCGCACGCCTGTAATCTCAGCACTTGGGAGGCTGAGGCAGGAGGATCACTGTGAGTTCAAGACCAGCCTGTGCTACACAGTGAGTTCCAGGTCAGTCTCAACTACATAGTGAGACCCTGTCTCAAAAAACGAAAAAATAAAATAAAATAAAGTAAATGTTTATCAAGTTCAGTTTCATAAAGGATATAATCACTTTGAATCCTTAGCATATTTTCTCTATTTTATCTGCTTTTCAGCACTTTAAAGACTATCATAACTAAAGACGAGGGCCTCGTTGTGACACACTGGGCCACTTTTTGGCACACTTACCCACAGCCACAGTGTCCCCTCTCTGGAGCGTCATGGAGGTGAACTCTGTACTGCTTTGGGGTGTGACTGAATTTTCTTGCCCAGCACTAAGCCACAAGGGGCCACTTTACTTTGGTTTACTACTGTTGACTTTTTCAGTTCTGGACCCAGACTCCAGAATCAGGCTAAGTAACACATTACCAAATGTCAGATCTGAGAAGAGCTTTATTTACTCCCAACATGCACCTCCAACCTCCAATACCCTGATCCAGTTTTAACAGAAGATAAATGCAACCGAAACACACCCAAGAGAGTAAAAGTAAAATTCAATAAGCAGAAATTTAACCAGAAAAGCTGTGCTATAAAACAATCCCTACTGCCCACATTTTCTAATGCACAGGGATGAACAACATACAGGGATGTTTGCACACCCACATAGCTCACCTAATCCCTTCCCTACCCTTGCTAATCAAGGCTTGAATGCCTTCTATATTACTGCAATGTTTTCTGTGCCTCATATCCACTCTGCAAACTTTTTTTAACAACCCTCGTTATCTGCTGGAAAGACACACCTTCCCTTTCAGCCCCATTTGGAAGGCTAAGCATGAAGGAAAACAATGTTGAAAAACACCTATATTACAAGTCCTTGATCACTTACCTAAATGTGCACAAAGGAACAATGAGATCTGTCACTCCTCCAAATGCCAAAAGAAGAAAATAGTGTTTGTGCAGCAGAAATAATCATTTTATAATGGCATTTGTTGTGCTTTTACAACCTGAACCACCATTTAGCTGATAGCAAGATTTGTGGTCCAGCAACGTTCAACCCAGGCACAGAAGGCATTCCGAAGCAGTCAGGAGTGCGCTAAGATGGCCTGTGTGTATACAGCCTGCCAGCAAACGAGCACGATAAAGAACCCCAGGAGAGCGTCTCCTGCAAGGGGCCCAGGAGCCTGAAACCTTAGCGGTAGCTCATCCATGGATGTTGGTACAGATTACTGTTGGAAAACACGGTCAGCAGACATTAACATAATCTTTCTGAAGTGACTTGAATCTGGGGGTTGAAATGAACATTTCGTACCACTTGGGATTAGTTGGCTAAGACACTGTTTCGATGAGAACTTACCCTGTGATGAGAAATCATGGTCCTTACAGGATGGAAGGGGCCTCACGTGCTGGCTAACTTGCCACTGGACAGTGAGAGGATCTGGTCTCACTGGGGAACATAGCTAAATGATGTTCAGCTCTGTTGTTGGCATTCGTAGTTAACACAGCAGGTGTGGCTCAGTAGTGCAGCACTTGCAGGGCAAAATGAGGCCCTGGGGTTGATCCCCATCACACCCCCCAAACAGTAGCTCATATATGCCTGGTTAGTGGGAGACTGTGCTATTTGTTGGGCTCATGCACCGTCTCCAGCCCTCTGACTGTGTTCTCTTCCCTCCTGTGTCCTTTGTGCCAGATCCACGGTGGTCATCAGCCGAAGCTGGCCCGTGTCAGATAGGAAAGCCATTCTGTCTACTCAGTAGTTTAGTGTCTCTTCTATGGTGAGCACTGGGTTATATTACAGTCCCATTGTGACTTGAACCTGGCAAGTGTGGGGCCCTGGGGTTGATCATCAACCCACCAACTTACTACGGGCCAGGCTTGGGATTTTACCTCTTCTACCATCTCCTCTGTTATACGGTGTGCTCCTCCACAGCCCCTTGAATGTGGAACAGGGTTCTGGTAGTTGTTATGGAGGTCTTAGCTATCTGTTCACAGTTTGCCTGTGTTCCCAGATCCTTTTGCTCAGTCCCAGATGTACCCCTTACAATTTATGATAAACTGTTGCCAAGCTTTCTTGATTTTATGTCTTAGTAGGTGTCATAGCTCTCGACTTGTGAAGGGCAGTTTCAGACGGGTCCTGTTTGGGGTCCTGTGTTTAGGGGTCCTGTCTACCAAGGCCCAGTATCACACCAAGCTTTTTTTTTAAGACAAGTGAAGAAGATGCTATGGGTATATCAATCAGCTTTCCTATTTCGGGGACAAAATACCTGATATCCACAATTTCAGGGAAGAGAAGCTTACCACGACTCACAGTTTCAGTCCATGATTGGCTGATTCTAAGGCAAGAGCATTGTGGGGAAAGGCTTCAGTGGAGCAGCTGCTGACTTTGTGGTGCTCTGGAGACAGAGTGCAGGGGAAACTACCCTCCAAAGGCGCGTCAGTGTCCCAGCTGCTAACAGCACAGACAGCTTGAACATCCGCGCGTTAATCCCCCGGTGAGTACCGCAACCTCATGATCCGATCACCTCTCCAGAAGTCTCTCCATCTAGTCAAGTTCACAACTGAGCTTAACTGACATGAGGATCTTACAAAAGGACCACAGGAGACAACGTGGCCAGGCTGCGATTCCTCCACTGGACTTGCTGAAAGTTCCCACCACCTACATCTTTACTGCTACATGGCAGGGCTGCTTAGAGCTCAGCCTGGATCTGCTACCAAGTCTTTTCCTACTCTGCGCCCCACTCAAAAGTGGAAGCTTTTCCTGCTGCTTGGTTTATGGGTCATCTATTAGTCAGCTGTCCATAGCTGAGATAAACAACTTAAAAGAAGATTTTAAAAGATTGTCTTTGGCTCACAGTTTCAGACTGTGGTTCAGTCCATGCTTGGCTGGCTCCATTACTACAGGCCTGCGGTGAGGCAGACCATCCTGGAGGAAGCAGGTGGCAGTGGAAATCTATGCACCTCCTTCTAGGGAAAGGGTAGTGGGAGCTGCCAGAGAGCTCTGCAGCGGTCCTGGCCTCCTGAAAGCCAGTATGACAACCACGAGATAGGAAAGTGGGAATCAAAAGAAACATGGAGACAGAGACTTAAGAGAAACTGAGTCTTGGGCTGATCTAAACTGCTCTGGGCAGCAAAGACAAAGGGCTCCAGGACATCCAGGGTTGGCCTTGGGACACCACCGATAACAAGTGTTAAGCAGGCAGCACTATAGAATAAGGGCACAGCATATCGTTGCTGAAGAGAACAAATGGTTAACTCAGAGGGGAAAAATTTTGCTGGAGTCAGCTGACCTTGACTGGGAGTGAACTCAGCCAAGCTTTGCTATTCCAATGTAACATTAAGCAGGGCAAGAAGCTTGTGCCACTATAGCCCGCAGATACTGGAACAAAGTGTCAGCTACACCTTACAGCAGCCAGGAAAGGGGCATGGGTACTAGGGGCAAGTTATAGCCCTCAAGGGTATTCTGGCGAGGTCCTACTTCCTTCAACTAGGTCCCACTTCCTGCAGTTTCCACTGCCTCCCAGGACTCCATTTAGCAATGGATTAATCCTTCGATGAGGTTGGAGCCTGTGATTCAGTTGTTTCCCTGCCTCTGGGCGTTGCTACTTGGGGACCTAGACTTCAACACAAGTCTTCGTGGGACACCACAGATCCAAACCCTGTGTATTCCTATGTATGCCATCTCCTGGGCCAAGGAGACCTAGCAAATGTGCTGCTTTCTTCATCGTGGTAGGAGACAGAAGATGCAGTGTTTCATCTACTTCGGAGATAAAACTCCTACTCTGGGAGAATCCTGATCATCGGGCCTTAAAACTATTCTTCATTCACAAGGCTCCGGAATCTGTCAGGTTCGCTTCACTTCCATGCTGTCAGCCACAGGACGCTGGCCACTTCTTGCTCATGTGGCATGATTAGCACAACGTCACCAGACGATGGACCGATTGACTTTCCTCAGGAAGTCTCATGATGCAGACTCCTTCGGACTATATGCCAAGGGAAGACAGAAGAGTTACGCAGCCCTGCATGTGTGCTGCTATTCATCATTTGGAAGCAAGTGGTCTCTAATCCTCTCTCTGATAGGGCAGCAAACAAGGCATTCTCCAAATCGAGGCTGTGCATCGTGTACCTGCGGCAAGGTAAATTTGCTCTTCCCAAGGAGATGCTCCCAGCAGCTGGAACTGGGCGACTATTTGGCTGACTGCCATTGTTTAGGGGCCACTTGTTTTCTACAGGCTCCAAATACTGACTTACCTGAGAATGAGTACAATGGGAACGATCACCCGGGTACTTGGGTCTTTCAGGGTGTTGCTGATATCCAGCCTTGCCCCTGCCTGTGATATTGTTTTGCATTTGCTGGAGACAGGGAGTTTCCAAGCCTCCCACCATGAGAGCTTTGATCCAAAGGTGCAGGACCCAACTGCTAATTACATCCATCAAGAACTTGCCACGGGGTGTGTGCTGGACCTTGGCCAGGGGATATTTATTACCTGGCTCCCATGTGCCCCCACTGGTTAGAACAAAAAGCCACCATATCCGGTGCTCAGGGTGCCACGTGAGACTGGACCTGTGTCCAGTGGTCCTTAGAACGTTTGGAAGTCCCCCCTTCTGTGTGTGCCTGAATGAATACTATGGTTCCCTCTGGGAAGGACTTGTGGGGTCACTGCTGGGTCTCTTGGCAGAATTCTTTCTCCTGGGGACTCTCCGAGTCTGAGCGCAAAGACTTGCTCAGGTTCAGGGAGTGAACGAGGAACTGTGACATTTTGGGGGCCCGGTGCCCTCCGAGTCTGCTCAATCTAACCTCTGAAATTGCAGGTTACAAGCTGAGGTCCCTTGTTGAGCAAGTGTATATTTTGCCTCTAGCAACTCTGTTCTCCATGTGCGGAGGTTTAGAGGACTCTGGGAGTTCAGGAGTTTAGGGCCATCTATCCTGGTAGCCACACACGGTCCCGGGGTCCTGCCCCCGATCTGATGTCTCCCTTCTCTTCAGACCTCAGGCTGTCTGTGTCCATACACTGGAAAGAGCACAGCCAACTTCCCCCTACAGAGAGGCCACTACCGGACTGGCCTAATTTGCTTGAAAGCCCACAGGAGCCAATAGCTAGGGGGCTCTTGAGGACCATTTCTCTTCCAAACACTGAAACGAGCACAGATGTTTTAGCTTTGCCACGGTGAGAGGCTACGTTTTGTGGAAAATGCAACCTGATTTAAGTTCTAAGTAAATGTTTATTCACACTATTGCCTTCAAGGTCTATACTGACAAAACCGCTTAATTTGAGAAGATAAATTATCTCCAGACATCGCTGTGTTAACACTTGCACACCTAGGTTTTTTTCTTTAAAATTTAATTGTGGAATGAATATAAAAACTTAATCGTGGAAAGAATATAAAAACTCCAATATCGATACAGTACTTCTGTACCCCCAAAAACAAGACCTCCAGAGAAAGAGAGAATTTAATAGGCCAGAAAAATTAGGAAAGGGTTCTTAGAGAATTGTAGAGTATGGAACCTTATTTGGAAGTGACCCGATTCAAATCTCTATTCAAAGGCAAAATATGTTCACAGCCTTCTTTCCAAAGTAGGTGTTCAGCCTTGGGGTGGTTAATTCCAGTGACAAGGAACCTGTCAGTTCCATTTTCAAACATTTGTAACTTTTTGAAAACTTGGACTGAGAAGTACCTAACTCGCGGGGCCTCGGCACAAGTGAGAAGAGCCAGGGGCCGGTTAATGAGTCCTTAAGTGTTTATCGCGAAGCTCTGTGTACCAGAGAGTCGTGCAGGGTTCTGAGAGTGGACAGTGAGCAAAATAGGTCCGTCCTTCCCCCGTGGGCCACACGATCCTGGGGGGAGCGATGTTCACGCGGGATAGGTAGCATAGGGGCAGGCGGTACAAATTTTAAATCATCACGAAGTTTGGAGGAGAATAAGGCTGTAAGAAAGTGGCCTGGAGCCGGGTATGGTGGCGCACGCCTGTAATCCCAGCTGAGGAAGACTGAGGCAGGACGATCGCTGTGAGTTTGAGACCAGCCTGGGCCACACAGTGAGTTCCAGCGCAGTCTGAACTAGATAGTGAGACCCTGTCTTGAAAAAAAAACAAACAAAAACAGTGGTCTGGGCTAGGTTTGAGGTGGGAGAGTGTGCCCTGCCCCCTTAAGGTCCTGTGGTGAGAAGCCTGTCTCCTTGTCTGAGGGACCGGTTCCCTGTGTGGCCAGCTGCCGACTGGCTGGAGTTAGAATCTGAACTGGGGTCTTGGCTGGTGCCAGACTTGAAGCACCCCCTGGCGTCGAGGAAAGGAAGACAATGGCAGGAAGGAAAGAGTTGGAGGAGGAAGAATTTAAATTGAGGCCTGCCTGGGGGAGGGGTTGTCCTTTTCCGGGTGGGCGGCCCCCAGAGACCCGTGCAGGACCCTGCTTGGTGAGTGTCCAGTACAGATGTGAACCAGCACCCGGCCCCGTGACAGCGACGGGCCAGGATCTTTTCCACTGCTGTGTGTGGCTACTCTTCACAGAAACCAGAGGAGAGGAGAATCCTGTGTCACAGCTAGAAAATGAGCCACAGAGGCTGCCTCACGGTCTGGTTTGCCACCTCATCAGTGGCAGAGAACAGACCCAAGAGTCTTGCTTCTGACCAGCGCCTGGGAGACCTCCGGAGCCCAGGGCAGGTTCAGCAGGCCCAGCATGTGCTTAGCTGAGGTTTGTTTTGCAGCGTTTTGCCTGAGAGTTGATAAGGAGAGCCAAACCCAGGGGAGGAGTCAGGCTTCTTACAGCTAGGCAGGTGCTCTAGAAAAAGCCTAAAGCTGCAGTGGCTGAGCGCAGTGGGCTCTATTTTTCATGCGGAAGAAATCTCACGAGGTTGGCAGGACTTGGTTCCAACTGTCCTCTCGGGGCCCGAGTTCCCTCCATCTGTGGCACTGTGGTCGCAGCGCATGGCCTTCTGGTTCTCTGTGTCAGGGAAGAAATGGATAGAGGAGGCCCAAGGGCTTTTCGTTTTCATGCCCGTCTTACCCAAGTACGTGTTCAATGACCCCGTTCCCAAGTAAGGTTCCTGAGGTTTCGGGACTTCCACCATCTTTCTGGAATATCGCAGCCCGCCGCGGGGAGACGATCTGGCCAGTTGAGCCCAGCCAGGTGTCGTCACATTCAATGCAAGGACTCTGGTCTTTCCTGGGAGGATCAGCCACAGGGGTGGGAGAACTTGCTCCTTTTCAGGAGCCAACAGAAGTGCTTGAGCAGAAGTCTGGTTGCATAAGCCAAGCAAGTCACCGCCCTGAGGGTAGCATCACTCAAGGCAGCCAGGAGGGCTGTGCGGCTTGCCCTGGGCAGAGGATGGACAGGGCAACCCTGTCAGACACTGCATTGTAAGACATTTCTTTGCTTCACCGGCGGCTGTATTTTGAGCCCTGTCCCTCCCCAAATGGACCACTTTCCCACCACCGGAGGGACGCTCTGGCCCACAGGGGTGATGCGTTTCCAACTGTGGGCAGCTGCTGCCACCTTGTGTCAGAAAGACGCCAGGCTGGAGGGGCCAGAGTCACAGCAGGACTTGCTGAGTCAGGAAACAGCACGGGGGTCTAAATTGGGATGGTCCCAGGTCCCAGGCTTCATGTCACCACCCTGGGGAGAACAGGGAACACGAGCACGCACAAGGATTTTTGGGGGGAATGTGGCAGAGTGCCCAACTGTCCCTTGTTCTGGTTAACTCCTGGGATGCCGCCTTCTGTAGGAGCTGCGCTGGCCGCCACACCTCACACAAGATTTTCTGTACACGGGAGGAAATCGAGCTCCTCTGACTCAAAGAATAAAGAAATCCCAGCTTTGCTGATTAGCAGAAAAGACTTTCTATATTGCCCATGGACAACACAGTTTCCAATAATTTGAAGGCTTTGCTCTAACTTTAAAGGCTCAAAAACTCCAAGCAGAGACTGGGATTTGGCTCAGTTTTTCCACCGCCTGCCTTGCAAGCTCAAGGTCCTGAGTTTGATCCCTGGTACAAAATAAATAAACAAATAAAGTCCAAGCAAAGCCTAATTTTGTGGGTGTGTGTGTGTGTGTGTGTGTGTGCACGCACACGCGTGTTTGTGTTGGTAGTGGTGGTAATAGTTTCAAAATTGCCGTATTGTTTAGATACAGAGAAATAAAAGTAAAATGTTTGTTCCGTACACTTTTCTTAGTCTGAATGATTGTTTCTGTTGATAGCAGGGGCCAGGTGATTGGCAGGATATTTCAGCCTTAGTTTCAGCTCATGAGAATTTAGTCTTTTTCAGATCCTTTAAGTGAAACTCTCAAGCTCTGAGCAGCCGGGAGGAGTCCTCCTGCCTCGCTCTCACGGGCCGGTGCAGCAGGATCGCCAGGCACCCCGGGTGCTTCCAGGCCTCTGCCCGGGTGGCCTTCATCCTGCTCGGTGACTGAGGAGCAGCTGGCTTGATCTGGTCAGCGGGCGTCACTGTGGCCCTGGCCACTACCCTCTGTCCTTCCTCACCCTGAGCCTCTGCCTTGGGGAACGAGGCCTCTTCTCCTGCCTCAGCTGTTGCACTCCTCCGGTGCTACGGCCTGGTGTGGCTCATTCTCCAAGGCCTTGTGCTGAGCCATTGATGGGTCCCCGTGGCCTCCAATTGGGCGGGGTTGAGAGATGGCGGAAGCTCTGAGAGCGAGGCTGAAAGCAGGCTGGGTCTTCCGGATGCTGTCCTCAGAAGGGCTGAGTAGTTTTTGCGGGCTCCCAGCTAGTTCCCGCGAGTGGGGTGCTGGGGCAAGGCACCCGTCCCAAGCTCTAGCTTCCCGTCTTGCCACAGAATCTCACTTGTTCACATGCACACCCGCCGTGGTTCCATCGGCCATGCTGTGATGCAGCCAGACGGGCCTGCCAGAGCTGGTGCGTGCTGTTTAGACTTCTAGCCTCCAAAACTGTAAGCTGGATGAGCCTCTTCTCTCTGAAGAACCTAGCCTCGGGTATCCCGGTACAGCAATGGGATCCAGAAGCACAATGCGCCAGCAGACACCAGAGGGCGCGCTCTCGGGCCCGCTGCTGCGTGTGGCTCCTGGGAGGCGGCTCAGCCTGCGGCTCAGGGTTCCTCGGTCCTCCCTCCCGGATCACGCTGGCCTGGCCGCCGCATCCCCCTCAGCAAAGGTTCTCTGCCAGCCAGGATTGCGGTTTCCCCAAGCTCTGCGAAGGCTCTGAGGAAGGGCCCGCCCCGCAGCGCTCCCACGCCCGGATCTCTTAGGCTGGTCGTCTCGATCGCGCTGCCCTCTCCGACCCCGAGGTGCCGGCGCCCCTTGCCTCTCTGCCCCGCTGCCTCCCTCTGCTCCACCTCCAGCTCTGAGCTCCGGCCCAGGTGCCCCTCCTCTGACGGAGTTTGCTTTCTGGGCGAGGCGGGGAGCCCGGCCCAGACCACCCCTGTCCCCGTGGCCCTCACTCCCCGCGCAGCCATGGACAGTGTTAGTTCCATCGCAGGGAGCCACAGCGCATCAGAGTCCAGGGGTGTCGGGGTGAATGTCTCAAAAGTCGTGCCGGTGGCAGAGAGAATTTTCTGTCTAACCCAGGTCGCCAAATGCAAAGTGGCCAGGTACAAAATCAATATGCAGATATGAGTTTTAATTTTATAGCAACAATAAACAGAAGACCATCGTTTTAAAGTTTCTAATTATAAAGAAAATGTCTAAGAATGACTCTAACAAGATGTACGCAAGTCCTTCATGTAGCAAACAATATAACTTTTGGAAATTCATTCGAGAAGACTAAAAAAAATAGAAAAAAATAATGTATTTGGGGAAAGGAAGATCAGTTTTCCGATTATAACCGCTTTCTCCAATTTAGTTTATAGAATTAAAAAACTTCAATCGAAGGCATTCCATTGTTCCCCATGGGGTGAGACAAGCACTCCCCAAAAGGCCAAGAGAGCCCCAAGTCGGGGAACACCAGCCCAGGTCTCTGGCCCGGCGGGTCGGACAGCTCCCTCTGGTGTCAGCTAGAGGAAAGGCAGCAGACCGGTCTCTGGAACGCGGTGAGAGCCCAGAAGGAAGCTTGAAGGCAGGGTTGCCACTGAGGAGTAATTAACAGGGAAAATCAGTCCCTAATCCACACCAAATGCAAAAATACGTTCGGGGACCCAGGGGGAAGGCGCCATCTAGAGGCAAGAAACGGGCCCTGCCGTCACCGATCTGAGGCGTCCGGAGCTTGGGCTTCTCAAGACTCCAGACCCGTGAGAAACAGTTTTCTGTTATCTATAAGCTAAGAAAGAAAAATCTATGCGGGATAAAAATTAGAATATAAAAGACAAAAATGTTAAACCCTGAGAAGAAAATATAGGATGACAATGACGCCGAGTCAAAGACGTGCTTTTAAGTAAGATATAATTTCCAACGGAAAGGGAGTATATATTTGGAGACATCCTTGCATCGGCCTCTTTGAATTCATTGATACTGCTTGTCCAAGCACATCACAAAGAGAAAGGGAAGAAAAGCCGAAAGCTGTGAAAATGTTCTTGCAACACTTGTATCTGACAGGGGATTTGAATCCAGAACCTTGGGCAGACACAAATGAGTAAGAAGAGTACAAAGAATGAAGGCCTGTGATGTGCACGAGCCAGACCCCACGATGAAGGCAATCACTGTGTACCGCGCGCAGGTACTGGTAAAAAAATAAAAAACCAAAAAAGTATTTTAAATCTGCAAAACCCAACAAACAACAACAAGGGGCAGGCAGGCAAAAGGCACCTCACTTTTCACCAGGCAGAAACCAACATGGTCTAGAAACTCGGGAAGAGGTGCTCTGGGAGATGCATCATCAGGATGCGTTTTAAAGCCACAGGGAATCCAGGCGCGGCAGCACCTACTTGAAATCCCTGCAGGAGGACCTCAAAGTTGAAATCCAGTCTGGGAGATTTAGCAACTTAGCAAGACCCTGTTTCCAAGTGAAAAAAAAAATAGGCCGATGGTACAGCTCAGCGCAAAGGCCCTGGGTTCAATGCCCTGCACTGAAGCAAGAAGGGCCACGTGATAGAGAATGTGGCATACTCCCCAGAATGGCGAGATGTTCAAAAATGTGATGACGCTTACAGCTGTAAACAAAGTGACACCAAGTTTTTAACGCCGAGGATGGAAGTGATTATAGGATGAGGCTTTAGAAAACAGTTTAGCACCGGCTAATGAAGTTGAGCAATATGTGCCTTCAAAGCCGCAACAGGGCGGGAACTTGGGACAACTGAACTTCATGTCCTCACTCGCGTGGGTTCAGCACAGAGTTTGGCCCACAGCAAATCCAAGGTTTGCTCTTCGGAACCTCCTGGATTAAAAAACAAAACAAATCAGGGATTTAGCTCAGTGGTTCCACCTCCTGCCTCCCAAGCTCAAGGACCCGAGTTCGATTCCCGGTGACTCCGCAGGTGTGGGAGCTGCGTGTGTGGAGGGCAGGGCATTCAGGAAGCTCTTGGTCGTCGACCCCAGACGCCCTGCAGACGGAGGTCACAGAAGCAAAGGGCTGGGAGTGGCTCAAACGCACACCAGTGTGCAGGGTCTGCACAGTGCATCCGCAGAGGGGGCGCCGTGTCGCCAGCAGTGCATCTGGAAACAGCACTGGCGCCTCCTGCTCTGTGGGTTGAGAAGGAAAGTTGGGCACCACCGCTGCCCACGTTCTGGGGAGAGTCAGCAGACGGCTCAGCTACTCCTCTCCTCGTTTTTCGCTGAGAGTCAAAACGTGTCTCAGCGGGATGCGGGAAGCAGCGTCAGTCATAGTCACCCAAAAGTGGAAACCTCGCAAATGTCCCTTAGCCAAAGAACAGATAAACGGGAATTGATTCAGGTATAGGGTTGGATGAAGGCTGACGCAGGGTGACCCAAGGCGGGAAAGAAGCCAGACGCAGAGGGGCTGCGTGTGGTAGGATTCAGTTTACACACCGCACACAGACGAGGCAAGTCTGTGGACACAGGGCGTGCACTAGTGAACTGTGGCCCTGCGTCTGTTTGGGTAATGAAAACGCTCTGGAATTAAGGCTGGTGAAA